GTAACAAGAGAGAAAAAGGTGTCCTTATAGGAGATAACAGAAAACTTTTTATTATGTCTAGTTGCTAAACTGGCCAGAGTGTTACAATACAAGTTAAAGATCTTAAGTCAATTAAAATAAGGTGAACTATGAGCCATAGATACTGTGTATGATTTTACCTAAATATGCCTTTCCTTCCGTTCAGTCAAACACAGTATATACTGTCCCCTCTCTGCCCTTAAGACGGGATTTCCAGTCCCAGCTTAACAGGCAAATAACTATTTGGTACTGGCAGTCATTTAAAATATCTTAATATAGGGCCTCCCTGGTGGCACAAACAGTTAAGCACTGCATTATGAAGCAATCTGCAGCCTCTGCAGCACAAGTTCAATCCCTGGCCAGGGAGGTGACCCACATGGCACAGCAGACCTCTCCTGTCTCACCTGCTGCTCCCCTCAGCAGTGTATTTCAGTTAGTCTGCCTACTGCTCCTCACTCTGTCTCTGGTGAATCCTCTCACCTCCTGCATTTCTGGCCTGTACCCCAGCTCTTGTATGCATAAATAATCTTTCCAAGACATCCCCTGCTCATGGATTGGAAGAATAAACATTATTAAAATGGCCATCCTACCAAAAGCAATATACAGATTCAATGCTATTCCAATCAAAATCTCAATGGCATTCTTCAAAGAAATAGAACAATTATTGATGAAATTCATATGGAATCACCAAAAACCCCGAATAGCCAAAGCTCTACTGAAAAAAAAAGAAGGAAATGGAGGCATCACACTCCCAGACTTCAAACTATACTACAAAGCCATAATCATCAAAACTGCATGGTATTGGAACAAGAACAGACATACAGACCAATGGAATCGAATAGAAAATCCAGAAATAAACCCACAGATTTATGGTCAACTAATCTTTGACAAAGGAGCAAAGACTATGCATTGGAGCAAAGAAAGTTTGTTCAATAAATGGTGCTGGGAAAACTGGGTCGCTACATGCAAAAGAATGAAGCTTGACCACTACCTCACACCATACACAAAAATCAACTCAAAATGGATTAAAGAACTAGACATAAGACCTGAAACCATAAAATACATAGAAGGAAATATAGGCGAAACACTACAGGATTTGCACATCAAAGACATCTTTACAGACACATCACCCAAAGCAGTGATAGTAAAGACAAAGATAAACAGCTGGGACTACATCAAATTAAAGAGCTTCTGCACAGCAAAAGAGACAATAACAAAAACAAAGAGAAACCCCACCAACTGGGAGAACATTTTTGCACCCAACACTAATGATAAAGGACTGATCACAAAAATCTGCAAAGAGCTGATGAGACTCAGCAACAACAAAGAAAATAATCCAGTCCAAAAATGGGCAGAAGAGCTAAAAAGAAACTTCTCTGAAGAGGAAATGCAAATGGCCAACAGGCATATGAAAAAATGTTCAACATCACTTGTCATCAGGGAAATGCAAATCAAAACTACCATGAGATACCATCTTACACCAGTGAGAATGGCACATATTAAAAAAACTAGCAACAACAAATGTTGGCGAGGATGTGGAGAAAAAGGAACTCTTCTGCACTGTTGGTGGGAGTGCAAACTGGTCCAACCACTATGGAGAGCTGTGTGGAGATTTCTGGACCTACTAAACATAGAGCTTCCATATGATCCAGCAATTCCACTCCTAGGTATTTACCCAAAGGACACAGAAACATCCATTCCAAAGAGCACCTGCACCCCTATGTTTATAGCAGCACTGTTTACAATAGCTAAGCTTTGGAAACAACCCAAATGCCCAAAAATAGATGACTGGATCAAGAAGATGTGGTACATATATACCATGGAATATTACTCAGCATTCAAAAAAGATAAACACATGCAATTTGCAGCAACATGGATGGCGCTGGAAGGGATCATGCTCAGCGAAATAAGCCAAAAAGAAAAAGAAAAATACCGGATGGTCTCACTCATAGCAGGAATCTAGAAAACTTAAATAAGGGACCAGGAAAATGAATATAAGAAAGTGAAAATCAAAATCAACAAAAAACTATGAACCAGAGACACTTTTTGGGGGGTGGGGGGTGGGAGGGGAAGGATTGGGGTCTGAATGGGGCGTTTGCAATTGTATGGGGGAATATAAAAATAAAATTTAATATTAAAAAAAAAATTAAAAAAAATAATCTTTCCAAAAAAAAATAAAATTTCTTACTATAAATTTGTTCATGTGTAAGTATAACACATTAAATGAAATATGCTTTTCAGTAATAAAGCCAGATGATTCTACTTGGTCATAATATATGGCTACTTATGACAACTGTGTTATTCAACTATCAATACAATTATTTTATTATGCAATTGTGCTCATATCAAAGTAATTTAATTTCATGCACCAAAAATACTGATCGCAACATTTTATTTAATTAATATTTATAAATATGCTGCCAATGAGATTAAATTTAAACAAACTAATAGAAAACAAGTATTAGCATGAGTTTTCCATATTAAAATATGCAAGGTTTTAGTCAGTGTATTCACCTGATTCAAAAATACAGCCAGGATTGCATGGAGGGTGGAAATGCTACTGCTTGTTCCCCTCTGAGGCCCATTTCAGGAATGCTAATTGTTAGACTTTTTTCGTATTAGTTTGGACACAGCACAGAATATTTCTCAGTCTGGCACTGCTGACAGCTGCCAACACTCTTCAATCAGAAGTGGACCATTATTTGAAACGTTTTTCCCTTCCCCTGAAATGTATGACCATTATGGAAACTTTGGAATACAGAAGAGTGTAAACAAAGCCACCATATTTCATCATTCAGACTTACATATTGCTCCCATTTTGTTCTTGTGTTTTCATGTTAAGAGGTTCAAAGGAAAGGTTATTCATACTTTTGTTATAATTTAGTATTACAAAATATGTTAACTTTTAATTTTAAATTTATTTGAGAAATATTTCAATCATACACTTAAGCTATAAAATATCTATTTAGTTTATAACAGAAAAAAATCACCCAGATTTAGTGAGTGGTATTATTTGACATGTTTACTTTAGACTGTTATAGAGGGAGGAAAATGTGACAGATATTTCTAAACTTCAACCTTTAAGCCAATTTCTCTTCTTACTAACACACCAATTACCATAATCAAATTTGTGTGGTTTTTCTGTTTCCACATTCATTTCACAAAATCTATTTATGATGATATAGTCTCATAGGGCCTCAACTTGTAAGGATTGAAACTCTTCTATAATTGAAATGACATAGAACCCCAATTTAAACTTTCTTTTTCATGTATCTATACATCTTTTAAATTAATCCAATTTATCTGTCTACCAATGGAAAAATTCACAAGGTATGACCAGAAACACCCAGGGGGCTGAAGACTGAGGTATGGCAGGGGACCCCAGAAGCTGATCAGTGGAATGCCTTGTTGATAAGATTAAAACCATGGCTGGGGATTAGGGTGAGTCATTGAGTAGATGAGAAGTGCCTGGAGGGCAGACTCACAATCCCTAATCTTCTACACCCTTCCCCTTTCTATAATTTCCTCCCCCTTAATCTCCTTTTGCTCCTCCCCCTTACAACCAATACCTTGTGTCAATAAAAGGGCCAGAATCTTGCTCTTCAGCAGCATCCTGCATTGTGCAGCCTGCTCCACAACTCCCGTTTGTCAGTGTGGTGTTGTCCAACGCAACAATGATGTTAATTTTTAATTTCTCTCTCTTTTTCCCCTTATTAAGCTGAATAAATATACATTAATTTTATTGATCTTTCCAAAGAAGAAGCTTCTGGTTTTAATTTTCTTTATGGTTTTACCATTTATATTTTATTAGTTCCTACTTTTAACTTTATTGCCTCCTTTTTACTGCTTATATTGAGATTAATTTAATTTCCTTTCTTTCTGATTTCTTAATTGTTCTCTAATAAAATTTTGAAAAATTAGTATGTTTTAAATTTTTTAATACGTGTCTTTTTCCTAATACCAATTTGTTAATTGATTTCTACTTCAATTTCTTGCCATCAGAGAATATATTATGTAATATTACAAACTTTTGACATTTATTGATATTTTTTCTAATGGCCCAGCAAGTACTCCTTTACTGGGAATAAATCATGTACATTTGAAAACTATATTATTTTCATATAACAATCTATCATTCTCAGTTCTTTTGAGTCAGTTGATTGTGTTTCTTAAATTTGTGTATACTCAGTGATTTATTTTTGTTTTTTGTTCCTGCTGGTGTTCCAGTATAAAAGAGCAGTTCTAAATGCTCCAAAATTATGGCTTTTTCTACTTTCTTTTAGCTTTGTTGATTTTTGAATCTTTTTTTTTTTTTTAAACTCTGCTGGTAAGTTCACCCTTTTTAGATTTGTACATTTCAAAAAGTGATTATGTTTGCTTGCATCACCAAAATTGTCTTCATTAGTCATTTTAATAGTAAAGATATGAAATTAATCCTGGGGTGTTTATTAATCTTTCTCATCAAGAAGTTTGTAGCCATTCCAAAACCTTTCATCATTCACTAGCTATCAAGAATATACACTTTAGGGCGTACCTCATGGTACAGGGGCTAAAGTCTCTGTGCTATCAAGCTATCACCAGCCACTGTGGCATGAGTTCGATTCCAGGCCAGGGAGCTGACCCACATGGCACAGCAGACCTCTCCTGTCTCCCCGCTGCTCCCCTCAGCAATGTATTTCAGTCAATCTGCCTGTTCTGCTCCCTGCTCTGTCTCTGGTGAATCTTCTCACCCCCCACCTCTGGCCTATACCCCAGTTCTTGTGTGCATAAATAAATAAAATACATATCTTTAAAAAGGACTGTTCCAGAGCAAAAAATGTTCCAGTCAAATTATTGCTGAGCAACAAGATATAATCAGTTCTCTTAGATGATAAATGTGTATTTTTGTTCCACTTTTATTGATACAAAAGTTGTATGCTGTCCTTAAGAGAGAAAAGTATATTTTTTAAATGTCAGAATTTGTTGTGTGTTTTGTTCCTCAGGAGTGTCAGAGATACTTAAGGATAAAAAAGATTACAAAGGAAGAAAAGATTGTTGTCTGCACGTACCATTCCCTCTGAAGAACACCAGTTGGAACAAAAGGAGCAGAATGCGTTGTTACTGTCTCCTTCCTTTCGTGTTGGGGATTCCTCTCCTATGGCCATGCCTCACAACAGCTGCACCCTCCAAGGCAGGGGAGGGCACCCAGCCAGCAAGGCCTCACTGGAGGGTGAAGCGCGGGTGGATATGGCACCAGTTTTCTGTCCCAGAGGAACTGAATAACAGCAACTATCACGTAGGCCAGGTACTGATTTTCTAACGTGGTACAGGAAATAACATTATATGAACGCAAACATGTGCACTGGGGAAGTTTTGGTATTTGATGATTGGACATTTCTCAGTGGAATCACTAGAACATTTCTAACAGCAGCATAATGACTGGTTTCATGTTTGTAAGCATCAAACATATCCCAAAAAATAAGGGAAAGGGAGGGGTACCGCTGGTATTCAAATTATTCTTCAGTCTCCCATCTGAAAAGACACCATCCTTTATCAACATCTGGATATTTGATGGTGTTTTTTGGATGATGGATCAAAGCAACCACAGTGAAAACCATTCAAGTTTACCAACAGTATTTAACCTGATTTTCTATTATGCTAAGTAGGTATTGATTTACCCCTCATTAATTTTTAATGAAGCAAGATGAATACCAAATCCTTTCACAGTTAAGTTCCTTCAGGAAACTACACCCTTCATTTGATTAGTGAAGTTGAGGACAAAGAAGAATTATTTTCACTGTCTTACAAGAATATAACTTAAGAAAATTTCCTTAATGAGACAGATCATTTCCTATTTATGTTTTGGGGTTTTATTATTATTTGGTCTTCTTTAAACATGGGTAATTACAGTATCATGTCCTTTTCTGTAAGGCTCTTTCTTCAGATGAATGAACTGAAATAAGTTTAACTGCTAATTAACTGGCACTAAAATTTAATTGGGCCCAAAGGGTGAAGCACTCAAAATTCATTAACTCTCCTTTTCTAGTACTTTCAGGAGAAGTGCAGCATCATCCTCATGTCTAGAATTCATAGGAGTTTATTTATACCTTCAGTCAAAGGTACAAGGGTGCATTCACCCAAAGGCTTCGAGTAGGATCTTAGTCAGGTTCCAGTCTCTCTCTCTCTCTCTCCATATATATATAGATATAGATATAGATATAGATATAGATATAGATATAGATATAGATATAGATATAGATATAGATATAGATATAGATAGATATAGATAGATATAGATAGATATAGATATATATCTCCCCCCACCCCCCCCCGTGTGTGTGTGTGTGTGTGTGCATGCATGTGTTTGTGCACACCTACCAATCCTTTTGCTATACTTGAAAGGTTATCAAGGTTATCTAGTTTGGAAAGCACAATTAAGTAAAAATTCAAAATGATATTTTTTTGCCAAATTGAGAGTAACTTTCCAATTAAAATATTTTTTGAATGGAAACAGAAAATTTCATGATACTAGAATCCATGAGGTTAGAATTTATTTAACTTGTACATTTTGTGACACTAAGTGGCAGATGTTAAAGTAATAACTGTTCCTTTACCAAAACCTGAGTCCTTAAAATATCACATTTACTGATCTATGAAAATTACAGTGGGAATATACTTTAAATGTTATTCATTACTAAATTTGATTTATCTTCATTCAAATATTGAATCATATTCTTAAAGGTGTGCCCAAAATATTTGAATTATACCAGCCATGCATTCCTTTAATATGATGTGTTTACTGGAGAGTACATTTGTTGTCCTTAATTTCTTACCATGATGGCACCAACACTTCCTTTTATCTTATAATAATGACGTGTTGTCAAATTAAAAGAATTAACACCAGGAAGTCAATCTGGATGTTACTATTCACACATTTTCTTTTCATTGCATAGCAGTGATATTCAGCACATTTTAAAATTAGGTGTTTTAGATATCTTTAGCTATTGATCCATCATATAGAAAATATTAATTATTAATTTTTAATTAGAAAAAAATTATTAATAGCACATCACAATATGTGCTATTAGAAAAAGCATGAATTTGCCTAAGATTGTATTTCTTGTTGAACTGTAAATTTTCAGAGGAACACTTACTTTGAAGAAGAACACAGTAATAAACAATCATGACACTCACGCATTCACAAGTGCTAGGGAATTGTTCTTTTATGAAAGTAATTTAGATGCTAAAAAAAACCACACACAACCAATGTTAGTTATGACCTCTGTTTGTATATATTCTAAATGATCACTATAAATTCCAAATAATCATTAACACTATGAAAGATTAACAAATGTACTTGCCTTTAAAAAATAACAGTGAAGGCAGAAGAAGAAAATTTGAGAGATTTGAGAATTGAGTAGAATAAGGAAGGGAAGAAAAGAGTTTATATTGATCTCACTAAAACTCAAGGACTAAATGACCATGTTATCTGTGGTTTGCAGGGGAAGATCTGGGATCAGACTGGACTGGGGTCAAAATCACAAATCTACATAAAAACCACGTGAATGAAAGTTTTTCAATCTCACCTTCCTACTCTATAGAAAGGAGTGATCATATCAATAATATACATCTCACACTATTTTGGGGAGATTGAGAAAATTAATGTAAAACAATTTGTAGTTTTTAATAAATGCCCAATAAATGGTTGAGTTTATTATTATCAACATCCTCCCTGTGTTTTTAATAATATATCTATGATTTCTCTGTATTTTTTTACCTCAAGGAAGAACATTAATGTCCAGATTTATCTGATCTGTCCCTAAGTCCCAATCTAATATAAATATTTGAAGTATGACTTAGTGACTAAAAATGTAACAACTGAAACAATTAGAACCAACACTGTTGTGTGTAAATTATGAAAGGGTTTTTGATTTTAAATTATTGCAGTTTCTAATTAGAATCCTCTATTTAAAGTAATAATATTTATATTTCAATGAGAAGTCAAAGACTCCTCTGCCTAGTGATAGATTTCAATCGTAAAAATAATATTTTAACTTATTTAATATAAAACAGGTCTAAAATGTAATTATTCACTTGGGGAATCATTGGCAGGCATGAACATGAAATGATTAAAATCCATTTGTTCATTTTAGCATATCTGGAAACTAAATTCTCCTTCTTTGCACTTGCAGCTGAAATCTGATTTAGATAATGGAAACAACTCTTTCCAGTACAAGCTTTTGGGAGATGGAGCTGGAAGTATTTTTGTCATTGATCACAGAACAGGTGACATATTTGCCAAACAGAAGCTTGATAGAGAAGAACGGTCCCTCTACCTGCTAAGAGCCCAGGTAATAGATGCCACCACTGGGAAGGCTATGGAACCCGAGTCTGAATTTGTCATCAGAGTTTCGGATATCAATGACAATGCACCAAAATTCCTAGATGAACCTTATGAGGCCGTTGTACCCGAGATGTCTCCAGAAGGTATTGCATATTAATTTATGTCAAAGATTATTAAGAATGAAAGCATTTACATTTCTAAACATTTGTATTAGAAGTAAATTATTTTAAGTTCTATCCTCCCACTTTATTCTGCAAGCATGTTAAGTAAAATGCTTAAAAATTAGTCGATAAAAATGTAATAAACAATGGTGTTATATATTAATTAACTATATGTCTGTCTGCTTAAAATGTTATCTTAGCCTGCAAGCCATAGAAAAACGTAAGGTGTGTTTGAGTGACGGGTAAATTCTTTAGTTTATTCACTTACTGGTTTCATTAATATGAGAATGTCATTTTTAAAAAATGTATTTTTTGTCTCAAAAAAGCAAAAATATTATCCTGAAAGAGATGAGATTAAAAATAGAAAAGTCGGGCCTCCCCGGTGGCGCAGCGGTTGAGCGCTGGGTTGCGAAGCTGCCCGCGGCCTCTGCGGCGCCGGTTCGATCCCCGGCTGCTCCCCGGCCACCGGAGGAGGATCCCACATGGCGCGCAGACCTCTCCTGCCGCCCGCTGCTCCCCTCAGCAGTGTACTTCGGTCCTTCTGCCTGCTCTGCACCCTGCTCTGGCTCTGGTGAATTCTCTCACCCTCCCGTGCTTCTGACTGTACCCAGTGCATGTATAAACAAAACAAACAAATAAAACAAATAAATAAAAAACATGCCTCTATTAAAAAAAAAAAAATAGAAAAGTCTATAAGTCAAAAACAATACTATATGCATGAAAACCATAGAACATGAAGACTAAGAACAAAACAAAATACTTAACACCTCTCTGTGACTGTATTCATTTTCAATTTCCCCTTTAAACACATTGTTGTTTTTATAAATATTTTAAATGAATACATGTAGAAAAGAGCACTTTCAAAAATATAAGAAGTGACTGCCTTCTACATCAAAAATGTCTTTCCAATAGGGGAAGATTATGGTATGGCTATGCAAAATCTTCCATGTATTTTGACAACACTCCATATAGTAAAACATAATTCATAAAATTCCCTTGTTGGATAAAGTAAAATACATTACAATAATGGCTATTTTAAAGTGTGCTATATGCTGGAAAACTGCTTGATTTAAGTGTTCCATTCATTAGCCAGCAAATCTAAAAGTGTCTATTCTGTTGCAATTTCCTGATTTTTAAGATTGTTTTTTATTAAGTAAAACTGGTTTGTAACACTGTATATAATTCAGAAATATAGGATCCCAGGTAGTAATCTAAAGATGACTTTCTACTTGTGTTCAGAATATAGGTCTTTAATTATGATATCACTAACTTAGTTATGTAATACATATCAAGACCAATTAACACTAGATGTAAATGACACTTTAATATTATACTATTTCCCTGCTAGGTAAATAAGACAGTTCTTTCCCTCCCTCCTGTTCCTCCTTCTTGTCCATCTCCTTCTTCAATGATGAACCTAACATGTTCTCAGAACTTTTCCCTAAATGTGAGAATTCAATTGTAAAAAAGATATAAGAGGTAATTGATGTCAGTAAATCTATATCTATAATACATAAAAAATTCTTTTAAATAAACAAGGTGATACTTAATCTGTATGTTTTGTAAGTATTAGGTAAGGTTAAAATATAACGATGATTAATTGGCTAGGGGACATAGAGTTATTTAGTAATGAAAATTCAGAATGATACAAATAGACCAGTCATAATAATCCTAAACAAAAATTGCACATAATAGGGTGATGAGATTTGCATAATAAAATGAGAATTATTGGCAGGTAGCAATCTTGTAAGGAATGGCATTAGAATGAGATCCTCTTGGCAGTGAACGCTGGTAGAGATGAGGATGGCAGACAGGGTAACCTGATGGTTAAGTAAAGGGGGATTGGCTTGTGCATTAGAATTTAAGAAGTTACCAGTGATGAGGGAAGAGGAGGCAAACAGAAGAGATATTCCAAAAGAATAGATTCTCCAACTGTGTGGATTTCTACTGTGAGGTGGAACAAAATCAAGTCAAAGCAGTGACTTGTGATTTGGCAAACTGAAATGCCCCACTGAGGTTGGTAAGAGCAATTTAGTCAAATTTTTGCAACTGTTAGAGATTGCAGTGTGTTGGAGAGTGATGCATGAACAGAAGGAGATTCAGAGGTGAGAGTGAATGTAGCCATTTTAAAAGATGTTTTACTACAGGGAAAAATATGGTGATGTGAGACCCTAAGAAGAAGCAGATGAAGGTGAAAGGGATTTGTTGTTGTTGTTTAACATTATTTTATTTTTTATTAAGATGGGGAATTTAGTAACAGTTAGGTACTATAGGGACCAACTCAGCAGGAGAGTACTTTCGAAGCAAACTATAAAAGGATCTAAGGACTGAAGAACTATTTTTGAGAAGGGACAGGGCCATGGAATTCAGGGTATTAGAGGAGCCAGATCCAGATAATTTAACACATTGATAATAAACCAGTTAATTAGTGGTTGTTGTTATTTTTGTCAGTGAAGTGGGAGACCAAAATAGTAATTGAGAGCAAATGGGGCAGAATTTTATATGGAGAAGAGGAGGTACAGAACAGGAATTTTGCAGAGTGAGCCCAGGAACAGATAATAATGTGAATGATACAGTAATTATAGCATGCCATCATGCGCAAGCCTCACTGTGGTTGATTCTATAGAGATTACAAAGCATTCATTTGGTCTGTGCAATATTTGGCTCTCATTATGCATTGCAACATGAGGGACATGTACATATTACATTGTCAATCAGTGTAATTCAATACATCCCCTTGGAGTGCCTTTCAGGATTTGGGTTTTGTTTGGAATCACACCAAAATCAATGAGCAATTTTTATAGCTTCCCTTGGGAGGAAGGAGCCCACACAGGCTGGTCAGCTGCTATCAGAGATGTTACCTAATATGGAAATATGAGAATATCCTTTTTGCTCTTTCAACCATTTTGTTGATGGTTTCCTCTGAAACATTCTCAGTTTGTCATTATATTGCTTTAAAGAAATGGATTAATAATATATGTAGTTTCTCCATCTCTTTCAATGTCAATATTTAGTTAATGAATCATGTGGATTCTTTCACCTGAATAGAATAGAATAAAATAGAATTTCTTACCATACCCTTTATCATTTTATAGGTTCTTGAGAGTTGATATTGTTTCTAAGTTCCGCATCCACCAATTTTACCTTTTAAAAAGCAACCAATGCAGACACGTCATTCTCCTTTGTCTTTTAAAAATAGATTTGAGTTGTATTATAGATAACTACAAAATATTTCATTTAAAACTGTACTTTAAACTTAGAATTTGGTACTTTAAACTTAGAACCTGTACTTTAAACTTAGAAACTGAACATGTCATCAGAAGAATCAAACAAACAAAATCCCTACAACTGCTTATTAAATATGCATTCATTTATATATAATGATGAACTTTCATCAAATATATATATATATATATTTGAAACGCCATTACTTTAAAACAAACACTTTCAGAAATTATGATAAAACATCAAGTTTTTCTCAGTCTGGATCTGCACATTTATCTTTTGTCCACACAAAAATATAAGACCTACATACTAGGCCAGGAGTCAGTGTCTGAGATTGTAGGTATCTGAGTAAATGAATGAGTTCATGGAGGCACAGGAACTCTACATAAGTGATTAGACTCTCTGGGGGATGAAGAGACTATGTTGGTGGATGTAAAATCCATTTTTTTGCAATTCTCTCTATTATAGTAATGCCACAAATTATATTATTTATGCTTCTATTGGTAAAAAAAAAAAAAAAAACCTTGACTTTTTGTGATAAACTCAACCTTTCAAGTCTATTACAACTTCATAATGTTCAATGAATTATAACCTTATTTATGAGGGATTGTACTTACAAATCTTCTAGAATCCTAGCTAGGATCATTTTCAATAGCTCCCTAGATTTTCCTCTAAGTATTTATACAGAACTTATTTTATAATCTTATAAATATATTATATCACAAATATTTACTTGTGAGTCAGGTTTAAAAACTCAGAATTTTCCTGTGGAAATAAAATTTTAAAATTAGTTCCCTAAGTATGCTGACATCACCGATATACACCACAGTTCTTCTGTAGCATGGGCCCATAGTATTTTAGAATACAGCCACAGTTCATAGTGATTTCTGTGTTGTTGGGGAATGGAGTGAGCGGGAGACTAGAACTGCACTTCACAGACCTATTGGGAGTGATTCTGACTGTAAACAATGTTCACAACATGAAAAGCAGCAATTATGTGGGCCTGGGAGGCTGCTGTGCTTGAGAAGGAGCTGTGACTTTCATTTTGATTTACATGCACCTCTGATATTGCTAACAAAGGAGGAGTCATGTGTTTGTATGAAAATGAATGTAAAAATTAAACATTTATCTCAGCCACCAAGTGCCTTTATAGCTGTATTTAACATATAATATGAGGAAGGGGAGATTAAAACTATTGTTGATTGTTCCCATCGAAAGACAGCTTATTGGCATCATATTTTCCACAATTCTGTGTGTATTATATATAACCCTAGTTCTGGAAACTGGGGATGGGAAACCCCAATAGAAGAATAAAATGAGGGCATAATGAGGAAAGGTGTGGGGATTAAATGGATGTGTGTGCATGGAAAGGTAGTTAAAAGAACAAATTTTGCCAAAAATGAAGTAATAAAATTGATGATCACTAAGAAGCCTTCATAATTACTATAAGAATATGTACCTTCAGCATTTGTTTATTCACTTATCTATTCAGTCATGTGAGATCTTGTGTAACCTAAGGTCTAATTCTTGTTGATTTGATAGTTGCATATTAGTGATTACCCTGTGACATTTCCAATCATACCATGCAGTATCAGTAAAGCTCTGGTCACTTAGAAACTTTAAAGTATAAACAAACACCAAAATGTGGCATTGCAGACCATAATCACAATATTGTACATCCGAACTATAGAATTGAACTAATTTTGTATCTACAAGTGTGTCCCCTTTGACTATTGTCTCCCCAACATTCCCACACCCAGCCCGGGGTAACAACCAATCTACTCTGTTTGCGTGATTTCATCTTTGTTAGAGTCCATACAGTCTTTATTTTTCTCCATCTGCTTATTTCACCTCACATCATGCCCTCAATGTCCATCCATCTTGCTACCATCAGTAGGAATATATTTAAAAACACCTGAAACTAACATATACCTACAGGATGATTGACTGTATAATACAAAACCCTTGTTACATAACAAACATAAAAATACTAAAAAAATGGCAGTAAATAATACATATAATTGAGGCAAAAGTTGTACAGTTCCATTATTGGGAATTAGAAGGGCTTCCTAGTAGAGTATATCAGTTTTTAATATCAGATCACAGTGCATAAAATCATGATGCTCTAGAGATAATCACAGGCCGTGTCATTTTGTGCCATTAGTTTTGCTGTTCTTCTTGGTGTTTTCACGAATGTGAATTTGCAACAAGACCCAGAATGCTAGATTCTAGGTTGACATAAAGTTAAAAAGCTTAATATTTTAAAAGACATATTTGAATACTAACTTGAAGGCACACGTTTCACATAGCTTTTATTATTTGTGACTGAATTTTAATGAGAATGCTTACTTTATCAATGTTTGCTCTTTAAAAAAACTCTTCAAAGCCAGTAACCATTTTATAAAATAGAATTAAAGAGGCAAAATGATTATGCTCAAAGTCAATGTGATATCATTTCAAGCTCATTTCAATAACCTTTTTATCAACTTTTATTAACTTCTTATTAAATTTTTATGAATATTCTATAATTTTCTGAGATACAGGTCACAATATGATTTTTGAAATAAAGTGTTTCCAGTTTCTTTTGATTTCTCCACTAATAACATGCCTTTGAAAGATCGTGAATTACATATTGTAATGGGTTTCATTATGTCATAGATCCACAATGTAGAATGTTTAAAATTCTACATTGATATATGTAGGCTTTTTGTATGTGGTATATTCTCCTTATCTATCCAGAATGATATATACTTTTATAATTCAGAAAAAAGATGATGGACTACACTTTATTATCATCTTGCTTGAGAAAGATAGAATTCCTTACAGAGCTGAATTCATTGCTCAATAACCCCACGCTCTTAATTTCTTGTTAATACTCATTTCCTCTTCAGGATCATTCGTCATCAAGGTAACAGCAAGTGATGCTGATGACTCTACAAGTGGAAATAACGCACGTCTCCTCTACAGCCTGCTACGAGGTCAACCATATTTCTCTGTTGAACCAACAACAGGTATTTCCAAATAAAACAAAGTAAAATTCAACATGATTCTAAGCAGGCAAATGTTAGAACAAAATTTCTCTGCATGTTTTACAGTTGTTTCAATTATTTCAGCTTTACTGGATTCCACATATATACAAAATAATGCAGTCTCTGTTGCAATAAATAATATGTTGTGACTTTAAATCATTCTTGTTAGTCTTTTAATTGACTTTTCTAAATTTGAGAGATTTGCTATTCCATGTCCATAGCACATTGTTTGCTTTTGGGGTGTAACATATATAAGGATTCCTACAAGTCAATTAGGACAAGACAGACAATACAATAATAAAAAAAATATGGGGAAGACACATTCATAAGAAGTTGACAAAGAATTGCCATACAGAAAGCCTGCAAGCATATTAAAACTGTTCAACCTCATTAGTCATCATGGGGATGCAAATTAAAACCACAATGAGATACACCTGCAAGCCAATGGAATGCAATTAAATCTGGGTTCACAATTGTGTCTATAAAGTGGTCTGAACCATACAATTTTTTAAACTCTGTTTTTTTATTTAGATCAATACAATATTTTATATTTCTGTTTTTCCTTTTCCATGAATCAGTTCAGTATTTTATAAAATAAAAAAATAATTCATGCAACTGAATATAAGAATTATGTGACAATAATTCATTTTAAGAACTGTTGTGCTCAAAAGTTTGCCTATATAAATACTCTCTTTAAGAACTCATAGTCTGAAAAGATAAAAATAATACCCATAACTAGTCACAAACCAACTGCCCAATAATGTAGCAAGTGTCAATAGAAGTAAACCTCTGTGATTGTTAATAAAAGACAAATACTATCACCTTTTCTGCTTACACTTACATATTCAAAGAATTAAAGCATTTTGTTGGATTTTTAATATTTATTAAACATTCAAACTTTTCTTATTGCTTCATTCAGCAACTATTAAATGGTTCTTTCTCAACCAGAGTTTTTGAGGGAATCAGCTTTTGAAAAATACTATTTGAGTGACTGTATTCTTAATTCTTCTAAGTATGGCACCTGGCTTCTATTATTCTGGATACACAGGGCAAGTTATTTTATTATTCAATATATGTTTAAGATGTTAGACTTTAATTCCCTCAATTCATCATTCTTGGTGGAAAATGGTTGAATAAGTAACAGGCATTGTAAAACATACTGTTTACACCATGTTAAGAAAATGACAATAAATACCCAGCTCGGACTCCTCTTTCTGAGAACTTGCAAATAGATGCTAAACATGTGAATATTGATGAATACATTTAAATAGGAACAAGAAAATAAGGACTATGTTATATTATGTGTTGAAGGCAGAATATACTGAAACCCAAAGTCTGTGGCAAAGGTGATGAGAGAGTGGAAAATTCTACATTATGAGAAGAACATAGTGGGAATTTCTGAGATGGGGGGAGTGTTGAAACTCTTGGACTAATTAGAGAGAATGTGGGAAAGCTTAGGGAGAGTGTAGAAATTGGATCACATGATGAATAGCTACATGTTAGGCCCTACTGGACTTTCTTCATCATGTTAAACCCTGTCTTTCCCCCAAATTTCAATGACTTACATTATATTGAACAAGTTTGCTGAAACTATTAATTGCATTGATGGAAGAGAAGGGGGACTGGGCAGCAAAACAAATGACAACACCAACACTGAAGTAATAAGTTTTGGGGTCAATAAGATGTACTGAGAATATGTGTCCTTTGATGATTCTAAAGGTAAGAAGAACAGTTGAAAATAAAGTAGGCAAAGTTAATTGAAGCCCTCACCCATGGGGAGCAAAGGCCTCCATATCACTCTCACCCACTGCTTAACTAACATCTATCTCTTTGGATATTATTTCCAAAAATTCTAATACTGTTCTGCCAATATGAAACACAATTTGCTCTTGAGTCCTTCATAGCTCGATGCTAGCAGCATCTATTTAATAGTTTTCATACCAATTCATATAATAGTCAATAATTATGAAACATTTTGGACCACAGTTACAATCCATCACAACGTGATTCAATGTTTCTCTTTTTTTAACATACATCCCAATTATTTTAGTGGACACTTTTTCCTAGATGTACTTATAGATTGGCTGTTCTCTTTCTTGTATCAACAACAAGTGTTCTATGTTCCCAAAATTGTGAGAATTGCAGTCCCCTCACCTATGCACATTGTCCCTACTTGAATTTTCTTTTTAGTGAAAATTAATTTCTATAATTTCAGCAATTTCTCTCGAAATAGAAGACATTTATTACAACACCATGGTCTCATTTGAATTGGAATATGAATACATATACATGTAAGTTTCAAGTAATTGCGATTCAAAAACCAACCCTTCCTCATATATTATGATTCAATAAGATTTTCACATCATACATGCACCAACTTTTTTGCCTAAATCTGTTATTATAATTTACACATTTACCCCATAATAAATATTTTTCTAAGTTTAGGGGAACAGTTCATTAAATCTGTATTAGAGAAGAGAGCAGGAAATAAGATTGAAGTAAAAATTGTTATTTCTCTGCCTTATATGTGGATTGACTTAACATAGGATTTTATCAAGGGTCTACTCATGGCCATAGTTTTGATGTGACTACTCAACTCTCAGCAAAGTAGTGTGTTGTCTTATTACTTTTACATTCTTTTCTCCACTACAGCATCTAGCACACTGTACTGGCTCAGAGTCTTTCAAAAGAATGACTGTTGGTTGAATTCTTAACAAATTAACTAGGAAGATACCGTGGTTAATAATAAAATAATAATTGAAGTCTGTTACATTTTTAAAGGAGTCATAAGAATATCTTCTAAAATGGATAGAGAACTTCAAGATGAGTATTGGGTAATTATTCAAGCCAAAGACATGATTGGTCTGCCTGGAGCACTGTCTGGAACAACAAGTGTGTTAATTAAGCTTTCTGATGTTAATGACAATAAACCTATATTTAAAGAAAGTAAGTAGACAGCATCTTGAATTTTCATTATAACTTAACTAATAGTACAGGTATCTCCCACTTTTATAAAGTTCACATAATACCACTTCACTTTTACAAAAGTCCTGCCTTACCCAAATGAAATCAGAAGAGAATATTCATGTTTATGAAAAAGGTGAAAAGTAAAAATAGTGTGTGGCATTGGTTTTGCAGCGCTGGTTTTAAAGGCAGCACATACCATGAGCCCCAAGGGTGGCACTAAGCTCCATCCCCAGATTTTTGCAATCTGAACATTTCCCTCATTACCTATTTGAGTAGTATGTGGCAGAAAGAGAGATTTAGAATAAGTTATTGGTGGAAAGTGTGGGTATGCTTCCCTACAGTCCATAAATAAAGGGTGTTATATTAGGAGTTTCTTATGTGTATTAGTTATGCAAAATATCTTGATTTTTTTAAAGGTTTATACCGCCTGGCTGTCTCTGAATCCGCACCCGCTGGTACGTCTATAGGAAAAATCATGGCCTCTGATAATGACATAGGAGAGAATGCAGAAATGGATTATAGCGTGGAAGATGATTCACAAACATTTGACATCATTACTGATGATGAGACCCAAGAAGGAATAGTTATATTAAAAAAGGTATATGTATTAAAATTATTTCCTTAGCAGAGTAGTATAAAATCAAATCAAAAATACATACAATTCACTTTCTCTAGCTGATTAGTTTTTGTCTTATTTAAGTAATTGGAATGAGAACCTATTATTTGTGGTTTAAGGAGAAAAAGTTTAGAAAAGAAAGTGTTAGTTATTACACAGTATCTTGAGCAATATGTAGAAAAATCTAAAAAAAAAAATCTTTAAGTAAAGCACAATTTGAAAAGATCTTAAATAAGAAAAAATTCTAACTCCCTAAGAAATTTTGCCCAGAAAACTATATTTTTATCCTAAAAACATATAGTTATTATCCACAAGCATTTTATAATAATTTTGAAGATTAAATACCAATGGGGATTTGCTGTGCAAATGTCTAGTGATCCCAGTGCATAAAACGTAAATCTAAAAAACAGTTGAGTCTTCATTATAACTAAGACTTTTTTCACCTAAATAATAAATAATACCTTAGATTATTGAAATTATGTCTTCTTTGTACACTATATTTCTTTGCAGAAAGTGGATTTTGAGCACCAGAATCACTATCGCATTAGAGCAAAAGTTAGAAATTGCCATGTTGATGAACAGCTCATGAAATACCACGCGGAACCTTCCACCACTGTCATTAAGGTCCAGGTGCGGGATGAAGATGAGCCCCCTGTTTTCCTCCACCCATGTTACATGTTTGAAATCTATGAAGGACTCCCACGTGGATCATTTGTAGGCATGGTCTCTGCCACAGATCCAGATCAGAGGAAATCTCCTATTGGGTATGTTGGATGACCAGCTTTGCAATAATACATCAAGGAACACAGAATAGCTTAAAAACAATGATATAGGGGTAGTATCTACATTTATAGAATGCTGATCAAATTTGAAATTACAAATCAATAAGTTAAAATAGACAACCCATCTACAATTACAAACATGCACAAAATAGACAATCACCAACTAAAATTCCATACTGTATTATTTGGAGTAAGAATATGCAGGGAAAAAGCCCATAAAATTGAGAATATTTTTACAGGATACCCCTTAAAGGAGTAAAAATGAAATAAGAACATTCAGAAATAAATTATTGCATCACAATTAGACAATATTTGCCTCTAGAGTAGCTTTATATTCAAGTACTATATTTTAGCTTTTCCCCAATAATCCAATTTAAGATATGGTTAAACATAAAGACCAAAATCTGTTGCATGTTTCCTTCTGCCATCTGCCCTTACTCACCTGTTTTCCACATTTAAAAGGCCACAGAATTAAACAAACTTGCATGTGTATATTAAGATTCTGAACAGTGAATCGCTCTTTCAAGGGAAAAGAGCTTCTGTTAATTTTTGAGACTAAGGAATTCTCCTACGGCTCTAATAAAATTCCTAGTCATAAAAGTCTCCCCTCTAATATGTAGCTATAGTTTTTATTTAGGAATGTAATTTTAGTAAAATACATAAAGATTATAAGTATGTAAGTAATAAATATAAGTGTATAAACAACATATATCTATGGACATAATTTTATCTCTATATATAATGATTTAATTATAACCCTATATATATATATATGTTTAAATATTTTAAATAGTATATCTATTAATCTATTCATTGTTCTTCTGGGAATAGTAAAGAATATGTAATTGCAAAAGTGCTTTAATGATTAATTTATTCATTATAGTATATTTTATTATCATTTATAGTGTTGGAAACAATTTAAATATTTAATCTTAGTGGTGTAATTTAGGCAATTAATGGGGAATGCTTTACCAACAAAAACATGGTATAATTTTATAAATCATACAAAATTATTGTTTATTATAAGAAAAAATGTTGCAAGTACATTAGACAAATTAGTGAATCATGCCTAAATTTTCACAGAGATCATGTGTTTTGTTGTGTCATCACTACTTGTGGTTACTTATTTTATGTCAAAATGTTTTGGTAATAATTTTCAGCTTTATACTAAAATTAATTGCTTAAAAAAGTGTTTGTGAGCAACTACCAAAAGAGTATATTCTAATACCTTTCATAGAGGTGCCTTTTAAATAAGATTGCTTTGCAGATATTAGAATGACAACTTTTTGTTTGCTTGTGGTATAATCTGATTTTAAGTAAGAAAGTAAAAGATCCAGAAAATGATTAAAACCAAAATGCTAAATAATTTCAATTTCAGCATTAGATTAATAATATCTATTCTATAAGCCTCCATGATAGCACAGGCAGAAACCAAAGGAAATCATAGATAAATGTACTTTGTCCTCAGAGTTATTCTAATACTTGAGGAAAAAAATACTAAACTATAATAAATAAAGTGAATTATACTTAGTCCTAAAAATTCATGTTTTCTAGCTTTCCCCCCCTAATTAAGAATCACTTGTGTTGTCAGATTTAGCAAATCTAGGATGGAATAAGTAAAGTGGTTTTACAGAAAATTTTTATCACTGTTTAGGCCACAAAAACTTGAGAACTAAGATACACCTTTATATGAATTATAATAATAAGCTGTATGTTTAAATACCAAGAAAACCCAGGGCATAGGTCTGAAGGAAGAATGCACTATTTAGATGTGCAAGTGAAATGATGTGATTATTTAAGCATGAGGAAATTTCCTTAAAATTTTCATTTTATACCTGCACTATATATTATGATATTATTTATATTCCAGATATAAGAGGTTTACTGCCAGTGTTCTGTATGACTCATTCTCTGAAGATTTTTGAAGTTCCCTTTCTAATTAAGTCTATAGTCAAATTTGAAAATGTTTGTAAATATGATTGCGATGGTGTATTACTTTGTTAGAATGAAAGCACAAGTTAAATCCAAGTCAAGAAGTGAAATAAAAAGGGAAGTAAAAAAGCAGTGCAAAAATTATAGAAAATTACAATGAAACCAAAAGCTGGTTCTTTCAAAACACCAATAAAATTGATCAATCTCTAGCTAGACCACCAAATGAAAAAAAGAAAAATAGACACAATCATCAGAAATGAAGAAAGCACATAACAATTAAATCTATAAACATCAGACATCATAATAAAGAATACTATAAACCTGTAGCCGATGAATTCAGACAAATCACTTGAGAATCTACCAACAATCACATACATAAAAAGATACAGAATGTTGAATAATTAAGTGTCTGAGCAACAACCCTGTTTATTTTGTGGGTGTTTCAAAAGTGTCAGGGATAGTTTTCACCTTTTAAAGAAAAGGCTGTCATTAAACACTCTTTATATGCACAAAAAAGGATGCCTCCAAATCCTTGAAAGACACTGGGGAGCTGCATCAGGCTTGGAAAGATAAGGCTTTATGTGTCTGTGCCTTTGGTCTAAGACTTCTGTAAAGGCCTTTAGAGAAACATCCATGGGAGAATCATTTGTTCAGATGATTCTTGCAAAAGCTGTTAGCAATAAGAAAACATTGCAAGGTCATGTTTTATTTATTCAGCACTTTGAGAGGAATGAAGACTTCCATTAAAAGGAATTTTGAGGTGAACCAGAGATTAATCTTCTAAACATCAGAATCTCATGTTGTAAGCTTTCCAGCTCAAGTTCTTTTCAAAATGAATTGCATACTCCTTTTCTTTCTTAAATGGTGTGTATTGGCTGTGATATAAAATGTTACTGATGACTCAAGGCCACACTTTTGAAAACTTTTATTTGAGAATAACCTCAAACAGAGATCTTGTAAAAATAAAAATAGTACAAAGAAAAATGTGGAAAGAAAGTTGTAAGAAATATATGCATATATAGCATGTATAGTCATACATCTATAAACATATAAAATCATAAAACGTACATATATCTCACCTAAGACATACATATATAAATTTAATTTTTTAATTAATAACTTTTCAGGCCCAGATAGTGTCACTGGTAAAACATATAAAAAATTACAAGTAATTAATGAGTTGGTATTGATATGATTCAATAGCAATACTTTTTTTTTAAATGTAACAAATTTATTGAATGTTAAATAGTCACAATAGATCAATATGCATAAGCAAGATGAGAAAGCTCTTGACAAAAGAATAATTAGTCCAACTCTTTTTTTTTAAATAGTAATGCATAACAGGAATGCAGGAACATTTGCACGTATAAAATTTTTCAATATAATTTGGCATGTTAACAGATTTAAAAAAAAAAGTATGGTCATGTCAAAATATGTAAAAAATCATTTGTAATATTTGAAACCCATGCATGATTTTTAAAAAGCAACCATGGACATACTAATGAATAAAAGGGAGGCTTTTAGATTTGATAAAGAGTATCTTCAAAAAACTTGCAATTATACTTAATAATGACCCAGTCCTTCTTCCCTAAGGAGTGTATTCCCTAAAGGTGTAATCTTTCATCAGTCCAAAACAATGTGATATTGAAGTCCTCGCCATGTAATAGCAAGAAAAAGAGATGCCAAAAGAATGGAAGGAAAGGAATTTTGTTCTTTCATTACACATCAATTGATTTTCTACATAGACATTTCCATGGTATTTACAAAAAAAAAAAAATCTAGATATAACAAGTGAGTTTATCAAAATAGAAGAATGCAAGATTGTTATGAAATTAACACACATTAACCATATGCCCAGATTCTGCTCTTGAGCATTTCCCCCAAGGAAAATTAAAATTGGTCTCTGGGTTGAATTATTTATCCAAAAAGATCTGCTGAAGCTTTAACATGCCGTACCTCAGTTGCGACCTTCACAAGCAGTTGTGACCTTCTAATTCAGAAGCAGAAACATAGTGAAAGTTGAGTGCGTAGAACCTTTAGAGTGCGTAGAACCTCTAGAGTGCGTAGAACCTTTCATCCTGTATGGCCGGTGTCCTTGTAAGAAGAAAACATAAGGCAACCATGGAAAATACAGACAGGTGGCAATGGAAGTAGATCGGGTGACACTTCTACAAACTACTGAATCCAAGGATTACTGGATCATCTTGTGGTTTCAAAGTAGAAAGGAATGAAATAATGAGCACACACGTTGAAAGGGCCCAGAAATCATGCTACGATTACTCCTGATGTCCAAGATTGTCAAAATTTAGGCAACATATACATAACGATATTCTGTACATTTCACATTTGACTGCTTAAATATCCAAAATAAATTCATGAGTTGATACTGATATGACTTAATAGAGACACATCTTTCTCTTATTTTAAATGTAATGAATTTGTTGGCAGTTAAAAAGCCACAACATGAGTACATTTATCGTTAAAATAATAATAAACCAGGATATCATGCAGGGGTGTGGTTCCCAAGCAGGGTTCAGTGCCTCTCATGCTGCTCCCCAAAGTTAAAGATAAAAGTTGTATATATTTATGATGTACAATGTGATGATATAATTTCATAGTAAAGTGGTTCTTCTGTCAAGGTAATTAATGCATCTTCTCACACAGTTACCATTGTGTGTGTGTGATATCTGAAATCTACACTTATAGCAAATTTCCAGTAAAAGTATATGACAGTAGTAATTATTTTAGACATGTTTCATCTAAGGATATTAACTTATCAAGATATATCCCTGGGAACAATAATTACAAAGGGACAATAGTAAAGAAACCTGGCTGGCACTCCCTTAATCAAGTGACTAAAGTTCTTACCAGCATTAATAGCCTACAATGAATATATGTACCAATTGACATGATGTCAAAGGAGGGCACAAGTTTTATTGTCATTCTTGCCAAAAATATGGAAATTACTTACTCATGAGAAAAAATCAGACACACCCAAGTTGATGGACATTCTATGGAAATGACCAGTGTTTTTCCAAAGTATCTAAAGCATAAAAAGCAAGAAGATTGAGAATAGTGGAGGAGACATAGAAACTAATGCAATATGGAAGTCTGGATCAGCCTATTTCCTTTTTCATAAAATAGAAAAAGAAACTTAGTTGAAAACTGGTGAAATCCAAATACAGTAAAATGAATATATTTTGGAGATCTAATATACAGCACAGTGTAGCTTTTAGGTGATGTCTCATGCACAAAGAAGGTCTCTCTGTGAAGCAATGGACATGTTAATTCATTTGACTGTGATCAGCTTTCACAGTATATAAAAATATTAGCCCATCATTTGAGTATCTTAAAAGTTCATGTTGTACAACTAAATATATAAAAATTGTATTCATCAACCATAGATCCATAAAGCTGGAAAAATATATTAATGCCAAAATCCCAAATATATTCTGTTTAGTTTGTAGCATTACAGCACTTAGTTTCTTAGTGTTTACACAGTAATAATACTGTGGTTTAATATTAGATGTTAACATTAGGAGAAGCTGGGTGAAGACCATATGGAAACTCTCTGAACTATTTTTACAACATCTCTGTAAGTCTAAAATTATTTCAAAACATGTTTTTAACTGGGAAATTTACCACTGGTAAATGTGCCTAAGTTAGATGAGATGAATATCAAAATAACACTTCTTTATTTATCTATTAATTTTCTGATGTTGATCTCCTATTTTTAAAAATAAAGTTAAAGGAAAAATATTTATATCTAGTATTAGAATATAAATATTTTAATTGGTTTTACATTTTGAAAAAATCTATGTATAATTTAGAATGGGGAATTTTAAATACTCAAAGCCATCTGTATGATCAGCATCAGTGGTTCTGGAAGAGGCCAAAAGAAATAATACATATTTCGCAATATTGCTAATATCACAATAAGGTTTCTAGTTTCTCTGTTCTACCTAGAGTCCTATGTCAGTTTTTATTTCTGCTTTAATTTTTTCAGTAGGTCCTGGATTTTAATTGCAACCTAGATACTGCTTCCTAATTTCTAATGGATGCTTAATATTACTAGAAACTATGATTTCCTGTCTAACTTTTGACTGGTGTTATTTGGGGTGGTGTATGGTAGAACCACGACAGATTCTTAATTTTTTATACAAAATTAACTGTTAATCTGCTGTTTCATTTTTGTCAGTAAATCTCTTAAGAAATGTGATCACTTGTCTTGATGTAAGTGAATTGCTTATAAAGATTTAAAGCAATTTTAAATAGAGTTAAAACCAAACTCCTCTAAAGCTTAATTTTCTGTAATTTCTATTTTAATTCTCCTCTGAACACCAAGCTACAAATTAGTGTGATATTTTTAGAGACCTGTCAATTGAAGATTAAAATATTCTCATCTTTTGCCACATAATTATGGCAAACCTCATTGATGTCTCATCAAAGTCTTTGGGAATGTATGTGCAATGAGAAGTTATCACTGAACCCTAGCTATTACTCTTCTTTAATTTTTATTATTAATCATTTGCAAGCAGATAAGACATGCTGAGTACTTCAAAGACTTTTTTCATTGTGGAATTTGAGATCATTTTCTAGGCTTCTGCATGACAGAATTTTATTACCTGGTTTCTTCTTCCCATGCATGACCTAATAACACCTTACATCTATCATCCTTATTTGGGGGATAAAGTCTCTTTATATCAAGACTTTAGTTCTTATTAAATATTACCAAACTTTTTTCCTTTATACAAGCAAAAACAAACATTGCTCTTAAGTCATCTTGGTGTTTATTTTCCTATATCCACTGAGGTGAATCTTAAATATATGAATGTACCTTATTGAAAATTATGCAACATCACATTGATTATGTGGCACATGCATTTAATGACTTGTCATTGCTTAAGAAGAATCTTGTGTATAAACTGTTACACAGAGAAAATTATGACAGTGGGGATATCTCCCTCTTGCTGCAGGTATTCTATCACCAGAAGCCAGGTGTTCAGTATTGATGACAATGGCACTATCATCACAACTAACTCTCTTGATCGGGAGATTAGTGCTTGGTACAACCTAAGTGTTTCAGCCACAGAAAAATGTAAGTACTCACCTCAGTGCCACATGTTGTTTTGCCTTATTTTTACAATAATGATGGTTAGTGCAAAAAATATTTCATGGAAAGAAGTAACCATTTGCATTATAAAATAAATAAGTTAGGAGAACAAAGTATACACATGGGGTTCATAGGCAACAAGATTATACTGTAAATTTGAAAAATTGTCAAGACATGTGAGTCTTATTGAGTGATCATTTCAAACAGTATATAATTGTCACATCACCGTAATTTAGAAAATCAGTAAATAAAACTCAGTTTTCAATTTTTAAAACTGAAGTTTTAAAATCCTTTATTAAGTAGTTATATGCTTTTTAAAATATCTTAGTAAATCTATTTCTTATCTGTTTTCCTATAACTGGTGATATTATACCTATCTTTATATGTTTCTGTGGATTCCTTTTGAAGTTTAGAGTTTATTGAAAAAAGATCTTTGAAAAACATATTTACTCTTGAGAAATAGTTATGGGTAGAAATAAGTCATACATAAAACTTATTTCATCATAATTAGTCCCTTAAAGCAAAATTTTCAATTTAGAGTAATATCTAGTTAATGTCATGCTTTATTGAACTACTATTCAAATAGTAAAAGTATAGAGTAGAAATTAAAATTTTAAGTTTAAAATAGTTAAACATTGACCAATAATATTGTATCATTAATCAAAATCAGGGTAAGTCTAACTTGATATAATGTGAATTCATGAGGAGACTATTCCAGACTTCAAATATAGAATTCCTGTATCTTAGTTCATTTCTAAGATGATATTAGAGGTGATTTTACGTAGTAGGGTCAAAGTGACACTCCAACACATGCTTTTAAAATAGAAGTACTCAAAAGTAGTAAGATTCAATTGAAATTACTGGGAAGAATATGAAGGCTTTATAAGAATTTATTGGTTGTCTGTACATCATAAACATATTAATATATACTCAAATTGAACTCATCTGGCTGTCAATTAAATCAATAATCAATAGAGGCCAGTTTTTATTTTCAGTAATAAGCAGATATCTCAGAATTTTCAGTTTGTAAATCATCTGGATAGTGTCTTCAAAATAATCAGTCAACTATTAAATGATTATATTGATTCAAACTCAAAGGAAGGGATATAACAAAATGTAGAATGATTATCAAAATCATTCCTATTACTAAGTTGCAAGATTTAGTCTGGTGCAGAACTAAATAAAATTTTCAACATGAAATGTTTTAAAACACATTCTTTCATGTAACTAATTTTATATAGAATTGTAATAATCTTGTTTATTGCATTGTTTTTTGAAAGTATTTAAACATATCTCTTAGTCGTCACATCATGGAGCAGTTGGCTGGTGATATGGTAGAGTGAAAAGCATCCCTTGCAGATGCTTTTGTCCTGTTTTGAATAGCACTATGGAAACACTGCAGGAGGACTTGGGTCTGGGTTTTGCATTTTCCATTTAACTAAACAATAAAGGATGGGGGAGCAAATGTTACAAGGGAATAAATGTTGCCGGCTACTGCAACGGAAGAAATACCAAGGCTTTTGGTGTCAGAAAACACAAAGATGTTTATTTGAAAAGCAAGAAGGTTTTTATTCATTGGGGAATTCTGAGAACAAATTATTTATAATGTCAGTATTTACAAAACTATTGAATAAAGGAATTGAACTCAGCTCAAGGGAAAACTGCACAGCTTTAAAAAATGTGCTTCTCTATAAAATAGTTTCAAAAGAACATGCTACATAAATTATGTAAATGACTATTCACAATTACCTTATTTTAAATATAAGGTTGCATTTTTGTAAGAATGTATCATTTACTTTTGTTAAATTAGAAGTACTATAATGAGACTTATTAGATAACAGTATCTTTAAAATTTATTATATGTATTCTTAAACACTCTTATCTTTCATGAATGAGTAGGAAAAAAGATAAGTAAGTATTGATATGAAAAGTTTGCCTAATAATTTATAGTCTATCCCATTAATTTGATGCTTGCATTTCATCAGGGAGATATTATGAAGATTTCTAGAGGAACTTTGAAGTATTTTGATTGCCTTTTTTAAAAAACAGTGGAAGCAAATTGTAGTATCATAAAATGGATCAAAAATAGTCATACAAATATTTGGGTTGCAAGATAGCTGTTTACAAAGAATTTAATACATAGAAGTTAATCACTGTTACAGGAATAGGTGGTTAGAGATGTTGTCAAGTACAGGAATTAAACAATTCATGGAGGTCTGTTCTTGGTGCTATGTATATTTTTTAAAATAAAAAAAATGTGGAGATTTGATAATCCCATTATTATTTTTAGCATAGTTGCAAGATATGCAATGAAATTTCTAAATAATGCATAACTAGATAGTCTCAGAAACCCACAAAGTTAGCGTCTATTTAACTCATCTTTAAGATGTATTTTTGAAATTTTTTTTTTTTTTCATTTTAAGGGAAAACTGGTTTGAACAAGTTTCTGTAACGCTGGGTAACCAAGGATCTTGCATTTCTTTTCTCTGTCTTGAATATTTTTAGGAGCAAAATTCATTGTAGAGCAATTTTGAAAAAAGTATTTGTTAGGTGCCAATATTTTCATTACTACGACAGTATGAAAATAAATGCTTGACCATTGAAGTCACAATTGTACTATGAACCAACCACCTGAACCTAAAATTGATATAAACACACTTGCCTCATGGAACTACCTTGAAGATGGTTGGCTAACAGTTTTGCTGATTATTTTTCCAACAAATGAAGTTCATAATACTTAGTCTTCCCTTGGAAAGCTTCCCAAACTAAGCACCAAACAATTTATCAGCATGCCAGCTAAGTGAATAAAAATATTAACCACTTTAAAATAAGTCTCTGAAGATATGTGTTTGTTTTGTATAGTCTTGCCAAAGGTTTAATTGAAACTTAATTTTAGACAGATTTTTCAGAAAAAAGATAAAAACTTTTAATGAATTTCTCACTAATATTTCTTTAGTTTATTTGTACCTGGAATGATTTTTCCATTTAACTTACTTAAGCAAAATGCTGTTCTATGGTGAAATATATAAAGTATTGAAAGCATTAAAATGAGCCTCATTTTATAATAATTAAATTTTAAAATATTTAGCAATATATATTCATATTTTAATATTGTTTAATCTGTTTTCACCCTGAATGTAACAAAATAGAGGAGAGTCTCAAAATGATAATTTCTAATGATATTGTCTACAGGTCATGCATTTTTGTAGGTAATAAGCCTCACACATTTTAATATTTAATTAATTGAAAATTGCCATTTGTTAAGGAAATGTGATTACACACAAAACCTCATCGCAAGCCAGAGAACTTCCCAACAAAGGTGGAATAATTAAAAAGCACTGAACCAGATGTGATGTGATTCACAGGAAATCCACTAAGAAATTGCCAAGATAGAAAGAGATTCCACCTTTTTATTTAGTGTTGGGAAGAGAAAAAAATTTCTGTACCTCTTTGTGTTTTTCTTGGACTAGTTGAGTAGTTAAATCAACATCACAGAGATTTGTGGGAGGAAAAAAACACATGTTATTTAGACATGTGGATTCCAAAGACAATAAGGCAAAATAGCGGTACATATTTTGAGCTAAGAAATAAAAGAGAGGCCTGGGGCATCTTGGAGAAATGAGGGGGAATCTCAAGAGGAGAGGAGAAGGGAATCTCAAAAAGAAGACCAGATGCTCTGTAATTACATGTTTGACAGTGATTCTGAACAAGAGTCATTTTCCCTATTCATTTAGTTAGTTAAGGGAGTGGTAAAAGTCCCCCATAAGCCTGCAGGACGTCTATTGACCTCGCTCAAAATAATAGACGTGCTAAAGTGCCATGTCTTGGAAAAGCCCTTTCTAAATATCTTGGTGAGGCCCCTGTGAGCATCTCAGGGAGGTCTAGCCTTCAGTAGTCCAGAAGATTCAGCTCTTTACAAGCATCTTCTCAAGAGAAATAAGTACTAGCCTTTAAGTAGGAGGACATCATCTGTCAGACGTATTTCATCCTAAATTCACTAGCTAGTTGGGGTGACAATTTGTACTTGCTAATTGGTAATAGCCAAAGGAAAACTAAAATTTTCTTAATTTTGTGAGGTTTATAATGATGCAACCTGGGACAAGACCTTCGGTGAAGTGAGGCCCCTACACCCCCACCGACACAGGGGTGTGTTCTTCCCTGGCGAGCACATTTCAGAGATGGCCCCCATGTGAGAAAGACAAGCCTGAGTTGTAAAGTTGACAAGAGGTTTATTTAGTTTTTAATTGATAAGAAAGCATTTCAATGAGACAAAGACTTCAGAGTTATAAATTTTCTAAAATTAAATTCTCCAAAAAAAGAATGTGGGAAAGTTATTTATTTTCAACAGAGAATTATGCCTTTAAAAAACTGTAGTTTTCCATACAAATTGCAAATATAATGCTGTTCCATTAACAAAATAGCGCATAGATTATAGACATTAAGACAAACAATGGCATCTTCCTCTCCTCATTCATTAATAACATGTACCTTTCCACTGTTCTTTTTTTTTTGAATATAAAGGAATGGTTTAAAGTAATGAAATATAAATATATAGTATAATATGCTGCAGCATACTTTATATCATTTTATAAGATAGAATACATGTTACTTCTGGTTAATAGACAAAATAATGTTTAGTACTTTCACAGTAAATGCTGTTCTAAATGCGTTACATGTATTAATTTAGTCTTCAAATGGTGCTGTAAGATACTTGTTTTGTTTCCATTTTACAGAAAGCCAACTGACAATGGTTAAGCATTTTTTCAAACTAAGAACCAAGATTAAAATTTAAGTCATGCATGTATAATGTTCATAATAGTAATAAATTTGTTTCATTGACTTATTCATTTTTAATAAGCATCTACCACTTCATAGTATGGTTGTAATTTATTTTCCCCAATTCCTTTCTGATATACATTTGGGTTTTTCCAGTTATTTAGGAGTAATATAAACTATTCTGTATTAATTTAACTGGATCTCACGCATTTGCATACCGTTGTCTTGGATACTATGGTAGCTTTCCCAGTGTAATGAGTGAGTCAAGATATGTCTAATTGACCTTTTTAATCTAGGTCCTAGAAGAGATTTATGTCCTGCTCTCGGGGCTTCACCATCTCTTACTCTTGCATGATATTTAACACAAATATTGAGTTGGGGATATTTCTGTTACATAGATTAAATTATAATTATTTTATACTAACATATATTCAGATTATTCCATGTCCATTTTCTTTTAAAACCACAATGAAAAATACAGTCATTAAGTACATTGATAGCTGACTTTTTAAATATTGAAGTGTAATTATCATGTAACTTCAGTTTTAGTTGAACAATATAATGATTTGATATTTGTATATATCGCAAAATAATCAGCACAAGAAGTCTCGTTAACATCCATTATGACAATTATGGCTGCTTTGGTGGTGGAAGAACTACAGAGACTATACCAGAGGGGAGAAATTATATATTGTACCAAAATAAAGTAAAATAATAAAAAGCCATCACTGCATATAGTTACATTTAGTATCTGTGTGATATAAGAACATCTAAAATTTACTATCAGCAATTTTCAAGTATATAATACAGTTTATTAGCTGCAGTCTGACTACTGTCTTCTTAAACTGCCTTTACCTCTCCAGTCAAGACTAAGCAGTCATTTAACCGTAATTGGTGAAACTAAATGGTTTCCCCATGTTTTTATCAGTAAAGTTGGGGTAGATGTTACACTTATTCATCAGGACTTAATGAGATAATGGATATGTCCAACAGCTCCTAGATTTTAAAAAGATGTCTATATACCCATCTTTTTTTACTATGCTTTTTCATCAGTTCCTGCAGGTGAAAGTCACCAATAAATATCAGTTGAATTGAGTGAATTGAGAACAATATTTCTGGGTATTGTTAATAAATGATCTATATGGAGATTTTTTTTCTTGGATAGCTTTTAGTCAAGTAAAATAAAAACATACCATATTAGATCTCTCCCGGTGGCACAGGGGTTAAAGACACAGCAGTATCAAGCAGTCACCAGCCACTGCAACATGAGTTCAGTCCCGGCCAGGAAGATTAGGACATGGCACAGCAGACCTCTCCTGTCTCTCCAGTAGCTCCCTTCAGCAGTGTATTTCAGTAGATCTGCCTGTTCTGCTCCCCACTCTGTCCCTGATGAATCCTCTCACTCTCCCCCACCTCTGGCCTGCACCCCAGTTCTTGTGTGCATAAATGAATAAATATTTAAAAAAAGAACCATACCATGTAGCCCCTAGTGCAATACTCCTGAGCCTGCCTCCCTAACACAGCATTAATGTTTGTGCTTTCATTCCCTTATTCAATTTGCAGACAACACGCAGCAGATTTCTCAAGTTCCTGTGTCTGTGAAAGTTCTTAATATTAATGATCATGCTCCTGAGTTCTCTGAATACTATAGGACGTTTGTTTGTGAAAATGCAGACTCTGGTCAGGTAAGAACCCACAATAAATTGCTGATATCTAAACTTTTGCCATGTATTCCTCCCATTTTGAAATTATAAAACTAAGCTTTATTTAGCCATATTAATTACATGCCCTTATGTTGTGAGCCTATCTATTTTAAACTCATTTTTTTTTTAACAGCTAACATGGAAAATTCAAATTTTCCACTTCCAAATTTCTCCAGTGTTTAAAAAATCTGCTAACCCAAGGGATTCAGTAACTATTTGTTTAGTCAATAGAATAAAAAAATTATCTTCTGTAATTTTATAGCAGTCATCACATTTAAATTAATTTGTATTTTTAATGCATATCATGGCAAAGATAAAGTAATATATAAGTATAAACATATTAAGAGCAACACTTGGACTTTCCCTATAATATATAGCTACTGTGTCTGATATATCAAAACAAATGAACATAAATTTCAAATAAGTGTCACTACCATTTAAAAAGTATCTGTACTGTGACCCTGTGATAATGCCTTGGTCCACTGAGAACATGTCTTCTACTGCAGAAGGAGAGTGAGCATTTTTTAAATATTACTTAGAGAAAACTTGTCAATGAATTACCTATGTGTATAGAAATACAGCAGAGTGAGTTTATAAACAGAGTATAAAAAATAAATTAAGGATATAGATACTTTTATTTGATTTAGAAATAATAACAAGAATAAAGGGTACTTTGGGATGCTGATTATTTAGTAATGCACCTCAAACCAAATGAAAAAGAAAAACAATATTACAAATTGGCACCTAGATTTTAAGAGTCCCCACATAAATGAGTCTTGAAGTAACAGAACATAAGGCAATTAGATTTTGAGCAATCATTAGATTGTCACAGAGGCGCAACAATTTCCCTTTCTATCTTTATATGGACATCAAGATTGTAAGATTTTTAAAACATGTTTACAAATATCAATGCAAAATGCTTTGTGGATGTTGTTTGTTAAGGCTGATGATGTGACTGTGTGAGACCTTATGAGTTTTTCCATGAGTTTTGCTGGTTCATTTTCTTTTAAAAATTTATTTATTTATACATGCAAGAACAGGGGTACAGGCCAGAGTTGTGGGGGATGAGAGGATTTACCAGAGACAGAGTGAGAAAGAAAACAGGCAGACTGACTGAAATATACTACTGAGGGGAGCAGCAGGCAAGTCAGGAGAGGTCTGCTGTGCCATGTGGGTAGCTCCCTGGCCAGGGATTGAACTTATGAGGCTGCAGTGAGGCTGCAGTGAGCTTCATAGGTTGTATCTTAACCCCTTGCACCACCAGGGAAGCCCTGCTTCATTTTTTAAATGCAAACTGTAAAAAGTGGAGGGAGCAAAAGTAAAGCATTAAAGAAATTCAGAATTCCCCAAATGCATTTCCATGAAGCTGCATATATCTTAGGACAAAAGTTTATTTTATAGAACATTTTCCTAATTATCTAAAATAGGATCTTGCTTGTTTCTTAAAAAAAAAAAAAAGGCAGAAAATTAAAGAATAAACCCTTTTCTTTCAAGATGATTTTCATTGTTGACTACAAAGTGACCAGAATTTAAAAAAAAATAAAGATATTTATTAATTCAGGCATAAAGCAGAGAGAGAGTGTGTGTGTTTTCCAATCATAACTGAGTGTATCTGTGTAAATTTAATGGATATGCCTCTTTTATCATTTGAGAAAAAATGAGAATTGCAAAATAATTTTATTCCTTTTATGTACTCTAATGCTTTCCTTTGTTTTGCTTTTTTTTTCTTTGTTTGTTTGTTTTATTGTTTGGTCCCCTATTTTGGAGAGACAGGTGGTCCTTCAGCGAGGGTTGCTGTGAATATTTGCTTTGCAGTGTTCTCTTAGGTACTTGTGTGGACAGATTGGTATGCCTCATTATTATCTAAACATTGTGTGTGTCAGAAACCACGGGTTTTCATTCAAACATGTTTCCTCTCATGTGGGAATGAAGATCAAACAACAGTAAATAACAATAGCAGGAAGATTACCTGGTGCATAGCAAAAGGGCTCCCTGCCAGACATCCTTACATCCCAAATCAGATAGTAACCTAACCATGCTGAATACCAATCTCCTCCTTAGGAAAAGGAAACAAATGACACCTTTGTCCTGCCTTACAAGGGTTTCATAAAGATAAAGTACTTTCATAAGATAAAGAACTATTGAATGATAAATCAGGAGGATTGAACTTTGTAAATATTAACAGTAGCAGTGAAGAGTAGGCTTGCAGTACAAGTTCTTCAAATGGGACCTATTCCAATCAAGAGATTTTGCATGAATTCTAAGGTGTCTGTGCACTTGACATTCATAGACACAGCCCCGTCAAGGTGCATTACAGCAGAAGGTGATAGCAGGGTAATGCCTTCCATTTGATGCTTGAAGGAACCCATTGGTTATAAAATAAAGATTAAAAAGTTACAAATGCCAATATAAGCATATTATTGAGGTCACTTTGTGGTTTTATTGAAGTTTTGATTTTGTCAGATTCTTGATTTATTTTGATTAGGTTGACACCAATTAAGTTTTCCTAAATCTCTAGAGCAATAATTCAATGACTTGCATTTGCCATTTTCCCTCTAAAGTAATTTCATATTTGTTTATTTGTTGACCAGGTTATTTTATTTCAAAAGTGCTTTCTGCACGATGATGAAACACCTCTGAGTATGCAAATCAAAACAAAAGATGGTGAATTAGTAGTAAAAATTAAACCCATATTTTATAATAGCATCTTTCATGTTATAGTAGATTTGAAAGTCTGAATGATATGAACAGTATTGAAGAAAGACATATAGATATGTTCAAATGTTCCAGTCTTTTCAACAAATTTTGCTGGAGCAACTGGATATTCACAGGAAGAAAATGGAAAATTCCACATAAACCTTACACACCTTATACAAAAATTATTTTTAAAATATCAGAGATTTAGTTTTCAACTTAGAACTACAAAACTTTAGTAGTAAAATTAGTTATAAAACTAAAAAAAACTTTTTTAAAGATTTGTTTATTTTTGCATACAAGAGCAGGGGCACAGGCCAGAGATGCGGGGGGGTGAGAGGATTCACCAGAGACAGAGTGGGGAGCAGAACAGGCAGATTGACTGAAATACACTGCTGAGGGGAGCAGTGGGCAAGTCAGGAGAGGTCTGCTGCGCCATGTGGGTTGCTCCCTGGCGGGCTGGGGATCAAACTCGTGCTGCAGAGGCTTCGAATTGCTTCATAGTGCGGTGCTTAACCACTTGCGCCACCAGGGAGACCCTAAAACTACAAAACTTTTAGAAGTAAACACAAGTAAAATTTTTCTCTTACTAAAGAAAGAGTTCTTAGATGAATCATCAAAGCTGAATTCATAGGAGGAAAACAGTTTATTAATTTTACTTCATTGAAATTAGAAGCAGAGAATAGACATTAAAATAATTGAAAAATAATTTGTGGTCTGGCAGGAAATATTTGAAAACAAAATATTTCCTAAGGACTTATATCTAGAACAAAGGAAGAACCTTTAAAATTCAACAGTAAAGAGGAAACAAGCCAATTCTAATGTCAGCAAAAGGCATTTAACTGAGAGATTATAGCAAAGAGACACGTGAAATGATGTTCAGCATCATTATTTATTTGGAAAATGCAAATTAAAACCATAATTTAATATCATTACACACCTACTAGAGTGGCTTAAATAATAAAAATCAATGACAACACGAAGTGATTGAAAGGACATGAAATAACGAACATTGCTGGTGGAAACATTTTCAACAACTTTCAAACATTGCTGGTGGAAATAAAAAATGAATAGTAATTGGGTGGTTTACTGTGAAACTATGCATACACTTATTGTACCACCTAATGTATTTGGGCAGAGTGTGGTAAACAGTTATACCAGAGAAATAAATACTTCAGTTCAAAAAAGCGTGCACACAGATGTTCATAGCAACTTAATTTTTAATAACTAAAACCTGGAAATAACCCAAGTGTCAGTCAACGGATGAATGATTAAACAAACTGTGGTACTTTCATAAAACAGAATACTATCAGCAATAAAAAGGCACAAACTATTGACACATACACAGCATGATGGCGCTCAAAGGCATTATGCTTAGTGCAAACAGCAATTCTCAAAACCTTACGTGCTATGCTCTGTGATTCCATTTATAGTATGTCCTCCAAATGGCAAAACTGGGGGTGATGGAGACCAGATTAATGGTTGCCAGGGGACAAGGAAGGTGTGGGGACCAGCGTGTTTCTCTAAAGGCCCCCTGGTGTAAACAAGCTGATGTGTGGTGATGGCAATCTTCATTTTTTAACGTGTTTGTTTTATTTTCAACCTGATGAAAATTATTGTTAAAAACTTATTATAGGGCCTCCCTGGTGGCGCAGCGGTTGAGTGCTGGGTTGCGAAGCTGCCCGTGGCCTCTGCGGCGCCGGTTCGATCCCCGGCTGCTCCCTGGCCACTGGAGGAGGGTCCCACATGGCGCGCAGACCTCTCCTGCCGCCCGCTGCTCCCCTCAGCAGTGTACTTCAGTCCTTCTGCCTGCTCTGCTCCCCGCTCTGGCTCTGGTGAATTCTCTCACCCTCCCGCGCTTCTGACTGTACCCAGTGCATGTATAAACAAAACAAACAAACAAATAAATAAATAAATAAAAACATGCCTCTATAAAAAAAAAAAAAAAAAATTTAAAAAAAAAAAAAAAAAAACTTATTATAAATAACATTTTCTAAAAACAGTTTAACTCTGATGTCAGACGTTAACATTTGTGCAGGAACTTGATGTAACTGGAAGAAGTTTATTTCCCCATGTTCAGGCATGGAAGCAGTGCTGGTCAGTAGTGGTTAAGCAAGTTTGTAGTCAAGATCCTGGCTCAGCCTGCTGCTTGCTGTGTGATCTTAGGGTACTAATCCCAGTAAATTTCAGTTTAGTCACCTGTACTATGGGGATAGTGATGGGTTATTTATTCATGGTCTAACTGTAAAGATTAGAAAGGCAGTCCTGATGCGATATTTTGCACATAGTAGATGACAATATTTCAGACTGTTTAGTGGAATGCATCCAACATATTATCTTCCTGCTATTCTCTCTCTCCAGCAACTCAGAATATAATGGATAGGATTTTTTTTTTGAGGGGGGGACTCAGGAGACATGCCTTGGGGTAAATATTTTTTTCACAAAAGCACTGCAGAAATTCTTTTACTTCCCATTTGATACACACATTAATTAGTTGTCTTCGGGGAAAGTTACATTTATGAATCCATACAAGACTAAAATAATAAAATACTGAACATGGTCCACTTGGTACTCAAAAGCTCACAAATTATTTCCTTTTGTGCCTTTTGTCTATTGTGTCTGAAACAAACCCCATGACAGCTAGTGAGACAGAGTCTCTACTTCTTGTCAAAGATTCAAAACAAGTGATAGATACCACCTGTAAGTAGAATCAAATTTATGGCTTTGCATACGTAAACACACATGCATAGGTGATGTAAAAAAAAACAATGATAATTGAATAAATTCTGTAATCTAACCATAATTTACTCTTGTCACTTTCCTGGTGTTGGTATTGGACTAGAGTTAAGTATGAGATATAAGATTATCTAACACAGTGATCCCATGTAAATATAGAATTTCTGGAAGCTACATTTAAATGTGTAAAAAGTAAAAATGGGAAGTTACTGTTCAAGTGGTAGAAAGTTGCAGTTAGGATGAGTAAGTTCTAGATCTTCTATACACATTGGACTTACAATTAATAGTATTGTATTGTGCACTGGAAATTTGTTAATAAGGCAGAGCTCATATTAAAGGTTCATACCACAATCTAACAAAAAAATTGAGATGTAAATAAAAAGGTGAAATTAATTTTAATGCTTGGCACAATTGAGAAAATATTATTTTCACAAATAAAAAAATTCAGAATGATTAAAGAAATACTTATATATTTTCTCATGCTTGCCTCATTTCCTGCAGACTCAAAGAGCCAGACAAATGATAAATTAAAAGGTATCCTGCATTACATTCATTATAGAAAATCAAAACACCAGAACATTTGTTCTCTATTCTGGATGAATCTAGACATTTTCTTAATGACCTATGTGCGCAAATAGAATTTTTGTTTTTGTTCTTAATGTATAACGTTCAAGGTGGGGAGAAGTAAAGAGAGAATTTTCAATGGTTTGCAAATATAATAAATGAGCTGACATTTGGGCAATTTCCTTTTCTTTTTGGTGAAAATAGTTATCATTTTTCAAATTAATGATTCCCATTATCTTGACTGATACCAAATATATTTTCCAGAAGTAAAGTATAAAATTAGTGATATTATAAAGTACCAGCTTCTATTATACCGATACCCATCAACTATGAAGATGTCTCCATGTAAAAATATTCTCCTTCCTAAATTGTACAATCCCACATTGTGATTCTGGTTTGCTTCTCCCCTCTCTTTCTCTCTTGTATCCAGTCCTTTTATTTATTTTTTTTCAAATTCACTTTTGCATACACCTCCCTGTATCAAAGTTTACATTCAAATGATTTCCAGATCTTTCCTTATACCAGGTATTCATAACAGGTATTCTTTTTGATCTTTTGAATAGGTATTCATAATCTTTTTTAATCCTCCTGATTTATTTAGTCAAAACAGGTCAATTTGGTATCATTTTCTCTATTTTCATGGTGGAACAATGATGTCTTGTTCACACATGCTGAACAATAATTTCTTGAAAACATGAGAATTTGCATGTACAACTTGATGCAGACAAATCCTTAGAATAACTAGATAATAAGCAAATGATATAGGTGAGATGTTTTCAACAATTCCTATATGTGTTCATTTATTGCACTGCCTGCCTTTCATTGGTTAGTAGATATTTGGTCTAGTCCAAAACTTGCATGCTTAGAAAATGTGCCTGGGGTCAATAGCTCATAGTATTTATTTATACTTTCGGTTCACAGGTTTAATACATAAACAAAAATATCAAGGTTGGTTGGTCTGATAATTGTGTTGTGGCTATATTGCTGATCATAACTCATCTTGACTCTGTAGTCTGGCTGCTAGTGGCACATGGATCCGGTAGTTGAATTGGGGTTCACACCTGCAGTAGTCTTATTTGTGTAACTATGCACATAGACTAGTCTTGTTTGTGTAACTATGCATGTAGACAATGGACCTCACAATATATGGCACATGTATTGGGTTAAAAAAAAAAGTGATAAAATTTTACCCAGGGAGATAATTTAAAATCTGAACTCTCAGAATTTTTCATAACATGACTGTTCTTTGTATTCATTTTGTTTTAGATTTGTTTTTGCTCCTCTCAGAAATGTATAAGGTCTGTGATAGACCCACATAGGTAGACCTAAGTAAATAGTTTGGATAGCTAACCTAGGCAACAAATAAAGATTTTTCTTATAATTTTATCTGAAAATTTTAAAAAACCTTCCATTGTCATAGTAAGAGGGAAAATGCACAGGCCCAGTTGACAGGGCAAATATAGGGAAGTATAGTCATTGAAGAAGGGAGCAGAGTATTGAAACTTCCGAATCTTCAGTTCACCCATGCATATTTAGAGGAAAGTTTGATCAATTAAAATATTTAGAAATATATACAAAGGCAAAATCTCTTCAATGTGCTTAAGCCTCCCTACATGAACGGGAGATATTTTAACAGCAGAGGCATATCTTTCAAACAGAAATTCAGGTGTAAGATAAATTGCCCCTGGTCTAAAAATTAAGATTGTATATGCTAACAAAATAAACATGAATTTTTACAATTTGCTGTCAATCTAAACTGAACAAATATGCATATAACAAGATTGCCCACAGTATGCAGGGAATCATCCTATGTGACTCCCCACAAGACACTGTTTCAATGAAAAAAAAAATCATAATAAACACGTACTGTTATACAGCCAGCACTTTGACAAGCTAAGATGTGCAGTCCTAAAAATGGATGCTAACTGTTATTAGATCTCCATTTTTTCAACTTAAAAAATATGTATGTTGCAAAGCCAGGATTTAGAAGATCACCCCAGCCCCTTACCTTTACCCTGGCAATACACAACCTTATGATAATCCAACATTAAAGGCTTACCCTAATGCAATGCACATGTATTATTTAGTCATGGACTGAATAATAATGCTTTATTTGGTTATTTAATTAACACCATATGATTATGATTTAATTAGGAATGTGTGATGAGGAAAAAAATAAATTGATGTAGAGAAATAATGTGCAAATCACATTAGTTTCTCAGGCTCTTTATGCACCTGGAGTGATACTTTGAAGTATAACTATAAATTTGGGTCTGTCATCTTGAAACTAAGGATATTTTTGTTTGACACATTGTTAAAAGCACTTTAATTCCAGAAAATTCAAAACAATAACTTCTATAATCAATTTACTTTAATTTCCAGAATTAATCACAATCTCACTGTGTGTTCTTGACAGCTTATCTCTTTTTTGACAATAACGAACTACTTGACTGACACATTCATGTCTTGAAAGAAGAGAATTAATTGAGAACTGATTTGCTCATAACTGCATTGTTTCACATTTTTATGATCTGAAATAGGGAGAGGAACTTATTTGATGTGAAACACTCTTCCTATAATCCGTATGGATCAGAGGAAATCACGTATATTGCCCCTAAACTTTAAATGCATTATTTCCCCAAATCAATTAAAAAACTCATTACTTTAGCAAATACTTTAGTAAGCTACTAATTCTACTACAATTGTGCTCTCAATATATGCAGGAAATCATAATGGCTGGAATTCAGATAAGAAGGAAGAAGGAAATAAGGAAGGAGAGGAGAAATCTAGGCAGATGGATAAAAGACAGTCTTAATTCAAAGCAATGGAATTTGAGAACTACTAACAAATTTAGCTAATGGAAGCCATCTGACCTTTCAGAAGGAATGTATTGATTATGAAATTTCAACACACTCTCTGAAAAAAAGCAAATAAACATGAGAAGATATTGTAATATTCACAGATTTTTGACAGTTCCTCTTCTGTAATTCCCATGAAGATTTTGGTAAACCAATTTTAATAAATGCTAATAATAAAAAATAACAGTGATATATTTCTTGAATTTAAAAACAAACTATCATTTTTTTTTTAGGTAATTCAAACTATCAGTGCAATGGATAAAGATGCATCTGTAGAAGAACACCATTTTTACTTTAATCTGTCAACAGAAGACACTAATAACTCAAGCTTTATAATCATAGATAATCAAGGTATGTCTTCCACTCATAATGACTTTTGGACATTCTTTGAGAATCATGTTTGATTTTAAGGGAATTTATTGCATTGTTTTTTATGTTGTTCCTGCTACATGATAATGCTGAGAAGGAGAGTAAGGGATGGCAATGGAAATGTGAGAAACACATCCCAAGGTCAAGTGCTAAAAATACTGGCCCCATTACACACTGAAATTCTTTCAATGAGAAGCACTTTTTTAAATTCTCAGTGGCCCTCAGCCCTATAAAGTTCTGAATGATCCTGAGTCTATAATGACAGATCCACACAATAGTTTCTTTCACATTCTCATGTAACTCAAGCTTCAATCTCTGTCTGGGGCAGAAAATGATAGATATTTACTTTATAGTCATGTTAGCTTGATTGATTCAAAGGTATTTGGAGTCATTCATTAGGAGTTATAAATACATAAAAATGGCTTAAGATTAGTGTTTTAAAGGATTTTGTGTGAAGTAAAAGAATTTTTTTATCTTTCACATAGAAGTGGATTAATTTTATACAAAGTCGCTCTTTTTTCCTCCACTTTAGTAAAAGACTTTAGTCATATGAATTTCTATTTTAATGCTGGTATGATTTTAATTATACCTTGGAGATGTGATACGCCATTGGGTTTATTACTTAAGTGTCTGTGACCCAATACCTGTAGATCTCCTACCTTACAGCTGAATTTTATGGGCAAACATTTGTGGGAGAAAAATAAGAATATGACTCTGTAACTATAAACCAGAGACACACTATGGGGGGTTTGGAGGGAGGAGGGAGTAGTATCAAAACAAGGGGGGTGGGAATTGTATAAGGACTATAACCAAGATGAAAATGCATACATTGTGCAAAAATGAAAAATGATATAAAATATATAAAATTAAAATAATAATGAATAATATATATAAATCAATGAAACCTTTCTATGAAAATCAATTGGTTAATTAAATTTTACAATAAAAAAATAAAGATATCCCTCCCTTTTATCCTTGTCAATTCCCCACTGAATGAAACTCAAATTTAGCGTAAAAAAGTACAAACGTCAATATAAGAAATAAAAACTGTACTTTACTTAAGTACACTTAAGTAAATTTTAGTTTTACTTAAATTAATAGCTAAGATTATTAGGCAAATAAATATATTGAAAATAAAGAAAATAATTGATTTGTTTTAATGTTCTTGGCTACACGTAATTTATTAAAATATATATTGCAAAAAAAGAAATGCTCTCACCTTATGTATTTGTCAAATAAATAAAGTGAAAAGATTTTTTATAGATTCAAGAGCATAATGGAGAATTCATTTAAAAATATGATTTGAGAAAATCATAAGTACGCATCCATTTGAAAGGCCTTCCATTTATTTGCATTTTATATTTCGTGTCTTTAAAGTTTGTCTTATTTCTCCAGAATATATTTTGGGGGATGACAATACAAAAAAAGGGAAAACAGTATTGATGCACAAGAAATGGCACCAAATAATGTTACTTAGAATATTTTGGGAGGCAGGTAGAAATTTAAAGCCTATTGAAATATTTATTGTTCAGTTTTTCATGTTCTGCTGGTTGAATCAATATTACAAAGGTTCAGTGATTTTCTGAATTTTAAGTGGAAAATGAGTTAATAAGATCAATGTGAAAAGAAGCATCTCAGTAGCATCTGTCCTACCAAATAAAAACTCTTCTCTCAGTTGATACAATATTCAAAATAACTTGCTGTTATACGTAGATGACTTTGATCATATTGAGTATGTATATTTGTGAAAATATGTGTTCCTATTAGAAAAAATATATATTATTCTCAGTAATTAATCCAAATAAAACTGATACTGTCATTATTAATTTAATGCTAGTACCCCTATAATTGATTGATACCTGGTTTTAAAAGCATTCTATAGCCCACTTCTAAGTTTCCTGTTTTATCAAGACAATTGGATCATGTATATAATGTATCCAGTTACATAATTAGCCTACATGAAAGTCAATGATGACCTTTTGAGCAGCTCTTTTATCATTTTACAAGAAATTTCTTCTTCCCGTTATTTGACTTTATTCGATAGGACCATGCTGTTGCCTCTAGCACGTAGGACTGGCGTGAATTTCTTTTATATCATTGAAAAACTATGCGCATGGATTTTTGTTTTAGATAACACAGCTGTCATTTTGACTAATAGAACTGGTTTCCGCCTCCAAGAGGAGCCTGTCTTCTACCTCCCCATCCTAATCGCCGACAATGGGATACCCCCACTCACAAGCACAAACACCCTCACAGTCTACGTGTGTGACTGCGATGCCAGCAGTGGAACGCAGACCTGCAGTAAGGAGGAGCGGCTGCTGGCCCTGGCATTCCGGACAGAGATCATCCTTGCTATTCTGATAAGCGTTATGATCATATTTGGTGAGTCGTGCAGGGATGAACCTGTCTTCCTTCGTTGGAAATAGATGACGACTGTGGAAAGAGTGAATTCCATTATAGCTGTAAAGTGTGTATTTGTGTGTGTATTTGCTTAACTGGTCTTCTGAATGGATTACAGTTTGAAACTCCAGTGAAGTGAAATGAAAAATAGAGTGGCTGTGCATTACAAGCTGAAAATCAAAGACCTTTTAAAATTTGTATGAGTATGTGAGTACGTGCGTGCACATCCGCTCAGGAGTGTTTGATCCATACATAGTACAACAGAGATAGTTATATTAAGGTTGATAATGATAATGGTGAGCTTCTGTGGGGTGCTTCTTTCTGTCCAAGAATTATACAGTTTGATTCTTATATTAATTGATAAAATAGCCACTTTTATCACCTGCAGTATAGGGATGAAGAAAGTGAAATTGAGTCATGCATAGGGTCCTACAGCTAGAAAAGAGGTGCTGGGATCCCATTATTCTAGCACAGCACTATTCAGCCCTCACTGCAGCTCACTGGAGCCCTGGACACACTAGAAAAAAGAGTAAATGTGCAGATGGAGGAGTATAAAAGAGAGACTTAGTTAATCTACGTGCTACACACAACGGCAATCGTGGTAAAATAGCTCCATTTTTAGTTTGTTATTGCTGTTTTCACCAGCAGATTTTAGTTGTACTCATTTTCCAGATCAGGAAAATAAAACCCCAAAATGTTTTAGTCAGACTTGCAAGACTGAAAATGATTCACCCAGCATGAGCTTTCCCTTTCCAGAGCATGCCAGTGTGTCATCTACAGCTCTCTTGCCTCCCTTGTTAATTTCCCATCAAAAGTCAACACCACTGCGTTGAGTGTTGAGAGCAGTTTTCTCCAAAACTTGTTCTAAAACCCCAAACATGTGGCTCACACCAACATAAGATGCATTTTACAACTTGCTTTGCCATGACTCCCATTCTGTCAAAGCTTCAAAAACTACTCATTCCTCCCCCTACTATTGCCATTCTTTGATTCCCAGCTCCATGTTTGCAAATTATTTTTAGTGACCTTCTATCATAAAAAACGAATTTAGAATTGCATGACTCGATATAAATAGCAAAACGCAGTCAGAGCAGTGTGGTTTACGGCATCTGACAAATACTGAGTTACTCCCGGAAACAGACTTGAACCAAGTCCTGCAGCCCTGGAGGGAACCAAGGCAGCCTCACCATGGAAGGCGTGAGTGATAGTGAGGCTTGTGCGTCAGCCAGCAGCCAGGAGTTTCTTCTTGGAGCTTCAAGAATGCCTTCTATTTTCTCCCCCTTTCTCTTCAATCAGATACCTCACATCAGCTTTAAAAACAGTACCTCAATTCTAATATGATGACTTTATTGAATTTAAGAGCACTTTTTCACTATTTTTAAATGTATGTTTTATATAAAATACTGTCTTATCTATTCATTCTCGTGATCATAGTAACAGTGGTCTGTGTTTGTTTCAAATCCTAGATACGAAATTCTGAATAGCTACATAAGACTCGAGTTTGAGTAAGAGCAATCTTACATCCACATGCACACATTTTTCTTCAAAATAAAATGCTATGAAATTCTGGTTCCACAAGATATTAAAAGCATCTGATATAATAGAAATGAATTGTGGACATATCAGTGTTATGATTCAAAGCCAGGCAGTTTAGGATTTCCAAAATTAATGTGATATAATAGATCACAGGTTCTGAACCAACTTTCTGGTCTGGAAGCTTTCACTTAACCTGCTGTGTGATTCTGGAAAAGCGACTTAACACCTCTGTGTTTCCGTTTGCCTGTCCTTAGAGGAAATGATAATATATGGGTATCCTAACAACTAAATCAGTGAGTGAGGCTTTTATAAAAATGCCTGGTACATACTTTGTAGTCAGTAAATATTAACTCGGAAAATAATAATGCCACATTTGCTTCAAAGGGGAATTTCAAATTAGTTCATTGTGTTTAAATTCTATTAACATGGCTCATTGGTTACTAAGATTGACAAATGCACATAGATTGGAAAACGTTCCCTTATTCTACTATGTCCTATTGTCAATATGTTCACAAAATAAAATTTTAAATTTCAACTCGATTCTCCTAAAAACAGCTCATTACATTTTTATGTTGTTTTTCTTCTCTAAAACATCACCCTGAAAGATTGTTGTCCTTAGGACATTCTTCAAGCCCCTTTTAAATCTTTCAACAGCAATACAGCTCCCTGTCTAATAAAGTCTGTTGCTTGATTTTTGAACAAAAACAAGAATCACTAACATTATTATGAATAATGTTTAAATAATAATATTTATTTACAGACAATATTCTATCCCATATGCCAATTAATATTCTGGTGTGCTTTCTTGGCCAGGGTTTGTGTTTTTGATCCTAGGGCTGAAACAAAGAAGAAAACAGACTCTGTTTCCAGAGAAGGGTGAAGATTTCCGGGAGAACATATTCCAGTATGACGATGAAGGAGGTGGCGAGGAAGACACGCAGGCCTTCGACCTGGCCCAGCTGAGGAGGAGCGTGGCCGTGCGGGAGCGCAGGGCCAGGAGAGCCACCTCTGGGGACATGCGGAGCCTCTACAGGCAGTCCCTGCAGGCTGGGCCCGACAGTGCGGTCTTCAGGAGATTCATTCTAGAAAAGCTGCAGGAGGCGAACTCGGATCCCTGTGCCCCACCCTTTGACTCCCTCCAAACCTATGCTTTCGAGGGAACAGGGTCGTTAGCTGCGTCCCTGAGCTCCCTGGGCTCTGCAGACTCTGATCAGGATGAAAATTATGATTACCTGAATGACTTGGGACCTCGCTTTAAAAGATTAGCCTACATGTTTGGTTCTGCCACACGGTCAAATAATTAAGGGTTGCTGCTTATTAACATTTTAAAGTTCTCATGTGTTTGGGGGCCACCTAGTAGTATGTTGGTGAGAGTTGTGTGGTCCAGCTCTCTGGGGCAAAAAGCAGAGATTTCTAGAGGACTGGTGGTGTCTGATTGCCTTTGAGAGATGCTAATGATCAAGTCTTAAGGGCTGATGCCAGCCAGCTCTAGCACATCACTGAAATATCCAATATCCCATGGCCTTTTTTTTTTAATACCGTTCTATACACATTGTCAAAAAATAAAAATGTAATGCTTAATGTGAAAAAGTTGCTGAATGAAATCATCCCTTTTTTTTGTTTCTGCATTTTCCAAAATCTTACAAAGTAAGAATTAAATGCTTACATGTGTAAAGTTTTTGATACCATACCGAGATGAAACACTCAGCAGAAACAAACTTGGGATGGTTTGGATGATTACATAAAACTTTTTAAAAAGATCTCATTTTTATGAATAAGTTTCTCTCTGAGACTCCAGGGTTCATTCAAGTTGATATTTCAAAATCATTGTCAAGACTGCATATAAAATATTTCATATTTAGATAGACATTTGGGATATGCTAATTAATGATAGAATGTAAATTCTTATTGTTTTTGATATTGTAGCTTTGTATAAAAAAGGGACATGGAAATATGTTTAGAAGTTTTTCATAAATTATTTTCATATGTAACCACAATGTATTTTTATCATGTCACAATACAGTGACAAAATACATGTCAACATTTACTCATTAAATCAAAACTTTATAAAAATGATGAAAAGTGTAAACAATTTAAGTTAATTTTACTGCTACTGAAATTGAGAGGTAAGTAAAAGGATTACCAGATTCAAAGTTGAATTAATATTTATCCTAAATACTATGTTTAACTGCAGTGACTCTTACCATGCATAGCCTAAAACATGATAAAATCCTCAAAACCCTGTTTTATTAAGAGCTTAGAATATAACATTCCTCAGTGTCATTTTTTATTATGGAACATAAAATTAGGTTCAATAGTTATTTTTATTGTAATAGTATGAAGGAAGTATGCTAAGCTGCTCGAGATAAAGCTTTATGGTAACTAGATAATAAGATAATAAAACACTTTAATTTTAATCAAACTTTTAAGGATGATCCTTATTACCCTACTCAAATCAAGGTGAAATGCAAAATTCAGAGTTTGAACAGCAAGAAAGTGAATACAGGATTAGTGTATATGTTCATCTTTTATTAGTAGCATGTGGAGGTGAGTAGAACAAATGACCATCTGTGTTTAAATCAACTCTTAAATAATTTTGAGCTAAAGCTAGAGTAGTTGAATGACTACAGTATTTTTTTTCTCTGTACTTTGAAACAGAAACATTCATTCAATGGATTAGAAGAATCTTTTCATCAATATCAATCACGTGTTACCTTCTTCGTGACACAGACGTCATCACTTTACAAAAGCCTGACAAAAATCAGACTTGAAAGACAACAGCTCGGAAGTAGATGAGAGGACATAAGCCATGATAAATTCTTATATGGTCATATTATTTACTTAGAGACAAATAAGAAAAATAAACAAATTAAACTTTAAAGGGAGTCAAACCTCCAAGTAAAACAGAAATGTGTGAGTTGAGAGAATATTTATCTTTCTGTCATATTGGCACAAAACTTGAAAGACTTTAGTTAGAGAAAGTTTCATGAATTCCACAAGATTTTTTTTTTCCTGTATTAAGAAACAGTGCAATGGAATCTTGGTGGAAGAACTGGAAATTATGATAAGCAGCTTGATGCAATCCATGAAAAGTAGAGTAGAAAAAAAGAAATAGGGAATGAAAAAAAATGGAGTCTTTTGGGAATTGTCACAGATTCTGTCATGGCTGGAAGTCTTACAAACAACTTGCAAATGTAAATGGATGCCTTATGAAAAAGCACCTTGCCACAGTATAGCTACATCAACAAGTTTAATGTTTATGTCCAGTACCAGTAGGCAGATGTATTCACATAAACTCCAATTTATCAAATGATAGGTTGTCAACCTGAAGATACATAGAAATAGAGGTTGCATATCTATTCGTTTTTCTAAAAGTGTCCTTTAAAACTGTAGCAAAAAATACTCTCTGATTTCAGTACAGAAGTTGCAATTACCTAAAAATTATACTTGATAATATTTCAGTAACTGTTTTGTCTTTTTTCTAATAACATGGGTGTTGTAAGAACACAGCTAAATCCTCAGGTAAAAACTTAACATTAAGACCTGATTTCTGTAAATTTAAATAAAGGCTAGATCAACACAAATATTTATGAAAATAGCACTGTTTCGCATTAATACCTGCAGTGCTTAACTACACCCTGAGTTAACTCCCAGGTTTTCTGTGAGTCTTACACAAGGAATGGTTGAAGCAGGCAAATATTTAGCCCTTTACAGGAATCAGAACTTGCTGGCAATAATATCTTTCACCCAGCATATGGGCTTGAGTCTCCCAGATCTGAATTTGAATTAGTTGACATTTGTTGAAGAATCTGTGCAGACTTGGTCCAATTACCTAATCTTTGTGAGTATTCCTTGATAACGTGAAATTATGTCTACTCAACCTATTTCACATGATTGCTGCAAAACACCAGCACTGATGGAACCTGGCGGAGGCAAAGGCAAAAGTCAACGTCCTGACTTGATGCATAAGGCCTTAAGTATCCTGCCCTGCTTACTGCTACAGCCCTTCCTTCCACTCCCAAACTCACTGACTTAACTCTTTCAAAATTATGATCATGGACTGAAACAGTCTTCCTCCAAACACTTTTCTTGCATGTCCTCACTTCAGCCAGGACTGTGATCAACTGCAACATCCTCAGAAAATGCATCTTGACTTCATCTCCCCACTATGGCCCTTGCTATAATGGGCTTGTCATTAGATCACTTAGCCACTGGGTTATTGTGACTAGTTTACTTGTTGCCTCCTTTACCCCCTATTAGAATGTAAACTCCAAGTGGACAAGGAATCGTCTGTCTTGTATGTATGTTACTGTCTAAAATTGCTTCTACCACATAGTGAGTGAACAGTCATTGTTTCTGAGATGAATGTAACAATGAATCCCAAGTTATCTTACTTTGCCATACATAGGAATCATATTAATGCTTATTGGATACTAATATGGGATTGTGTTGTTTTTGTTTTTTTCAAAATAGGTTAACATTATGTAGTTCTTGGGTTACACTAAAGACTTTTCAGAATCTTTCCAGAAATTACATATTTGGCATTTTAACTTGTTTTGATTTATTGATAATATATACCTGGTGAGAAAGAAAGTAATGAAGTTATACTGTTCAGTCAAAACAGGTCCTTTGATGATCACTGTAGGAAGTCTCCTGTGAATAAGTTCCCGTGAAGTGTGATGACTATGTGAAAACACCCTGCCTGAGAACCTGCACCACACTTCAGAGCACAATGTGGTAACAAAGGCAATGTTCAGTTTCAGGGCTGCCCGATACCTACAAGGTGGCTTCACATTCTTTTACATGGTATAAAAGTATATTCAATATCACATGAATTCTTGGGCACTATTTAGAGAGAAATGGAGGCAAGGAGTAAGTAGCCATCTACATATCCAATTATGCTGTCTATCTATGTAATCTGTCACTTATCAAATCTCTATATAGTCCTCTATCTCCTATCATCTGTCTACCTACTGTTTAATCTATTATTTCTCTAATGTATTATCCGCCAAATAGCTATCAACCAATCTAACACCTATTAATCTAATCTCTCTTCTCTCTCCCTCGCTCCCACCTGCTCCCATCTTCTTAGAGAGAAATTGTGATTTCCTGGAGAAGGGCGGCAAGTATCTCGATCACAAAGTAGATCCTTGGACCTGTTAGAATTTGTTGCTGCCCTTTTTACCTAGATGGGAGAATGACTGATTGTTCTTAAATGACAGGGCTAGAGAGAGGGCTGCAGTTAGGCCAAGTGTAGTTCCTAGTTTCTGACTAGGCAAAGTCGCTCTAGTTTTCTCTGGGTTAAGTGATGGCAGCTGTAGAAATTTTGCACAGAGGCTGAATCTGAGAGTGATCTTAAATCAGTCAACCAAAGAATATGTCACATAAGCTAAGGAACAACACGGACGTCACATGCTTAAAACGTCTCTGAATACCCCATGCATGAGCCCCAGGATAAAGTGCCTGCCGTCTGATGCCTGTCATCACACAGGACTCCGGCTGTGAAATTATGGTAACACCAGCCATGTTTATTGCACTGCTCATCTCTCATCACTCCATCCAGACACCGGAGTTTAGAGGCTGCAGAGTAAGTGGAAGAGAGTGAAAGAATTTTATATTGGATGTAAGGTTAAAATCTCCTGGAAAGGATTTTTTTTTTTTAATTTGTCAGTGACCAGAAGCTATATAAAATTTCTGAGAATTGGGCAAAGTAGACATCAGAAGTTCATGCAAATGTGTCTAAAAAGAGGATAGCATTAAACATGTTAATGATATTGCCTTCAAGGTACAGACTAATCAATAAACTGGATACATTAATGTACCAACTCAATTTGACATTTCATATAATTCCAATAATTTAAAATGCAATGTTCTAATATTGAGCATAAGTAAAATACATATATAATTTATAGCATTATCGAAACATTTGAGAACATATTAAAATAGTTACACAGCTTTATTTCGTGCTGTTTCTTTGTACTTACACATTTTAAAATTTAAAGTGTGATATGTTCTACTGAACTGCATTGCTTAGTGATTTATCTCAGCTACAAGTAAGACTGGACATGGAAACTACAGCATATTCATGATTATATAGAATGTTTTGTCTTCAAAAGGAAATAATGGATGTTACTCACATGTTTCTGTAATATTACCTCATTTACATGCTAGTAAATGTAGTACTTTTTGAGTTATTTTCTAGTTGCTAGCATTTCTCTGTTGTATAACCTTAGGCAAGTTATTTAATAGCTTCTATCTGGTAACTTTCTCTATACAATGGCGATATTAGGAATATATAATTCATTGGACCATTGCAGGAATTATATTAAATGGTATGTCTAGAGATTAGATCTATAGATAGAAAGTGATAGATATATCTATATATGTAAATGAGCTTTATAGAACATGACATTTTGC